TGAATTCAGATCCTGCAGGAGCTGGAGTACGGAGCCTCTGTGGACTGGTGGGCCCTTGGGGTGCTGATGTATGAGATGATGGCCGGACAGCCTCCGTTCGAAGCCGATAATGAAGACGACTTGTTTGAGTCGATTCTCCACGACGATGTCCTCTACCCCGTGTGGCTCAGCAAAGAGGCCGTTTCTATTCTCCGAGCGGTACGTGTCGTCTCTCCCAACATTATCTGACATTTTTGTAGGACTGGGAAGCTCTTGGGAAGCTCTCATCACCAATTTCTTTTGATTCTACAAGGAAAGCTTAGTTTATTTTAACTGTATTTAGGAGATTTTGATCAAAATCAATTAAAATCAGTTCAGTTTTATTCACATAGTGCCAAATCACAACAGTCTCCTTAATGTGCTTTATACTGTCAGGTAAAGGCCCTACAGTAATACAGAAAAAATCCAACAATCAGATAACCCCACTATGAGCTAGCACTTGGCAACAGTGGAAAGGAAAAACTCTCCATCAGAACCAGGCTCAGGGAGCAGCAGCCACCTCCTATGAGTGGTTGGGAGTGAATGTACTAATAAAGTACTTGTGTATTTTAACATGGACAACCAACATTTATTAAACGTGCTATGAAGAGAAATGTAGAACGGCTATATGAGCACTGTAACGAGTGTAACGATGCAGATAAGTTGAAGTTAAGTTAAACAAAAAACAAACTTCAATGTCTAAAAGGCTCAATTCCAGCCCAGACTTGGCCAGGCTTTAACTCAACAGCATCTCAATTAGCAAAAACTGTTCCTGCAAGAGAAGAATTCAGTCTTGTGGTCACCGTTTTAACTTTCATTCAGATTTCTATCCTCAGAGCGTCACACGAGCAAATCAAACTCAAAGTGCACTTGATGCAAAGGTGTCATGCTGCACTTTCCTCGGACACTGAGGAGAATTAAAAAAAGGTTAAATGCAGTCATAAAACTGCAGTGAATCACAAAGTGCTCTTATAATGCCGAACAGACAGCAGAACAAAAGCAACGCGGTAAATAACACCGGCACTCTGCTGACCTGTTTGATCACTCTGCCAGTGACTCTGTGGATGCTAAAAACAAAGAGCCGTTTATGCCTCGGCTCTATTATTAGCACCAAAATGCTCCCCCTCCCTTATCTCCTCAATCCCTAATCCTTTGTCTTTACTTGTGCAAACAAAGATGTGAAGTGTATTTTGTTATGGATTAAACCACAGCTAATAGTTTTCAAGGTCCTGCTTTTCTGGAAGAATAAGTCCAAAAATACAAATGTTTTATTTGTGCAGTTCATGACAAAGAACCCGGCCAAGCGTCTGGGCTGCGTCGTGAGCCAGGGTGGCGAGGAGGCCATCAAGACCCACGCCTTCTTCAGAGAGATCGACTGGGTACTGTTGGAGCAGAGAAAAGTCAAACCACCCTTTAAACCCCGGATTGTAAGAGACACACACTCTGCACAAACTCACACAGGCCATAGTTTTACATGCAGCTATTTCACACATAAACCTTCAGTAATGCATCGTGTATTTGATACTAAACATTTTTCAAGGCTCAGTAGTTTTGTGAACTTGTGGATAGGTATCCGAATTATTATTCTTTAGTTTTAAATTGCTGAAAGACTATATACATGACATATACTGAGCATATTCCGATTCTGATTCTGATTCTGAGGAACTACACCAACAAACTAGCAAAATACTCAAAAAATACTTGTTTCTCAAAATACTAATTTATCATTAAGCTAAAATCTCAACTGTAGCAGAACGAAACATAAGCTGCAATGTTCAGGTAATATTCGCTAACATTACCTGGCAATGGCTAAACTAAAGAGAGCAGCACACAGCCAAAAAAAATGCTTCTTTTTCTTAGTCCACCAGGTGGTGCTGTTGAGTTTTGGGTTTCATTTGGAAGTTGGTAAAACAAAGATGGAGGCCTGAGAGAAGTGCTGTATGTGTTTAAATCAGAGATGTTGCCGTTTTTTTTAACAAGAAAGGGACAAAGGAGATGGATTTGTAAGGAGTGTCATGTGAAAGTAAAATATTCTATGAATACTGTAAACATGAGGGCATATTTCATGCACTGCCATCCTCTCTGGTAATTCCTGCCTCTACTGCCGAGTTGGGGGACCTGTTCTTTGTACTTTGTTCTTTGTACCTGTACTTTGAGGTTTATTTTATCACCCCATTTGCAGTTAGTTGTTAAAAAGCTAATGTTAGCAAAGTATTTGAAACATTAGGGTAAGTGGGACCAGTAGTAAGGTTTTAAAGCCCTGCGGTGGCTGTTATATTTTCACCACCATCTCTGCTGGTGTCAAGTTGCATCGTAGACTTTCATCTGGGATTGTTTTTTAATACTGTATGTCTCTTTTTGTCTCAAATATAAAATTCAACATGAACACCTTTATTACTATGCTGTCAAAAGTCTTCAGGTTAGCTTTCAGGAATTTTAAAGCCTAGAAAGCCTGAAGTTAAAGTAGGCATAAGCACGGAGATTGAAAAAGTATCTCAATTCATTATGTTGAGTAATTCTCACAGTACCAGTCAAAGGTTTGGACACAGTCACCCATTCAGTTGTTTGCTGGCAGAATCGAAAAAGGGAAGTTCACATACTACGAGGTCAACTGAGAGTCATGACCTGCTTCCCCCTCCAGAATGGGCAGGCTTTAAGCGCACTCTGTCTCTGTCAATCATTCAAAAACAAGTAAATATGTGTTTTTAAAAAGTCTTTCGGTGTACTGAATTACTTTAATTTTAATATGTGTTTATTGATTTTGTTTGTGAAAGAAAGACTGTGCCATTTAGTCTCTAAAAGTAGCTTAAAAGGCTTGAAATCCCAATTTTGCTAATGCTAGATTTAAAAGGTTTGTGGCGTGTTAATTTAAGACCCCCTAAGAGAGCACCTTTCAAGGAACAGTAAGTCACAGTGGTCAGAAGGTGTCGCTGTCATGTAATTTTGAACGTTCTCTGACATCCTTCCCTCCGTCTGTGCCTTTGTGTGTGTGTTTTCGTGTGCATGCGTCTGCAGAAGACCAAACGAGATGTGAATAACTTCGACCAGGATTTCACCAAGGAGGACCCCGTGTTGACGCCCACGGACGAGGCCATTATCCGACAGATCAACCAGGAGGAGTTCAAGGACTTCTCCTACTGCGCCCCCGAGGAGACGCATACCTAACACATACACACACAAATACACACAGATCCAGCCACACTAAACTCGGTATGCACGCACTCACACATGCTGACACTCCATAGATCCATAAAATCCCTTTACAAATCACACACGCACACAAACACACACACACACACGGTCAGTCCTTTACTTTGAAGCTATTGGCTGTTGTTACTTTTGAGATATAATTTACTTGCATTGTGTTGTTGTTGTTGCCTGGGTTCATTATGAATATGAATATGAATTTAAATATGAATATGCACACGCTCTCACAAACAAACGCACGCACACATCGACACGCTCACGTGCGTACAAACACTACAATCCCAAGTTTTACGTGCCCTCGCGCACTCCTACAAGGTCACTGCGCACGCTCAGACAAAACCAAACACACATACACACACCTACACTGCTTCTCTCCCCGGCACCTGTACACATGTGGACTGTGGGTGCTGGGTGCAGAGGCTTGTATATAGCCTGTGTTGAGTGGCTGTATCGTGCTGGTGTTGTCTGCTATTAAAGGAGCGTCGTGGCGCATGGACAAGCACCCTACCTGTGTTATTACTGTCCTTATTGTGGACCAGTTAGGGCCAAATCCCCTTTTGTGCAATACCCTGACTATCTATATATTTTATGGTTTGTTTGTTCATGTGCGCGCGTGTGTGTATGTGGTTTTTTTTCTTCCTCAAAATGTGTTTTTTAAATTGTTTTTGTTGGATTATGGTATGACTGAAGTATTCACTCATTCTCTGTCCTTTGTGTACAAAGTGAATGTCGAGCTTACGAGTTACAGGCTATCGAACTAATTATGTCGAGCAGAGTGTTAGAGGCGGCCTGTGTAGCAGTGAAAAGCCCCATTTCCAGCTATTTCATCCGTCTGTTAGGTTCAGAGATTTGGTCTGCCCTCTTTGTGTGAATGTTGGCCTTTTTATTAATATTATTGTTATTATTATTATTATTATTGTGAATGTATATTTTCATGCGTGCGAATGTGTGAATTTCTTTTTTCCCCTTTTCTGTCTGTTTTTTAGCATTTCCATAGCAACCGTCAGTGTTTTCCCTTTCCTTGCACTCTATTTCAAAGCACCAATTCCCCTTTTCCACATCCAGCAGCTCTTTCAGCCAAAACCACACGCTTTATTTTTTCTGACTTTTGCTCTTTATGTTTTCAAGAATGGCTTTTTCTTTCTTATTGCTCTCTCTCTCTCTCTCTCGCTCTTTCTCTCTTTTTTATTCTAAATCTAATTATTATTATTATTATTGTAAAGTGTATCTGGAGAAATCCTTTGTGCATAATACTATAACTATACTATTATAGGTCTGTTACAGCCGGGTTGATAAGACGTGTTGAGAGCCAGCAGCTGAATTACCTCTCACTTCACACACAAACACACACACATACACAATAAGCACCAATACAGACTAGCTCCTTTTCCACCTCCCCCTTCTTCTCACTTTCTATTGTGCAGACACACACACACTAAACACAGAAGGACTGTTGCGTACTGTACAGTGATCTGAAGATGAGCTGGTTGCTCTCTGTGCAGTAGAGTTGATGTGTAGTGAAGCTTTGTGCACCCAGGGGTAGGGCTGTTCCTGGTCACACTATCTTACTCTGTGCCAAAATGTAGTGCAACAGCCGGGCTAGTCCTGTCTGGTCTGATTCCAATAAAACACTGAGCTGTCTACATCAATCCCAGACTACATTGTGTCTTTTTCTTATTGTTCTTTTCCCCTTCTTTGCTTTAATCGATTCTAACCTGCTGCTGTTCAGAGGCAAATCTGTGGGATGCTCAAAAGTTTATGTAAGAGAAGAAGAAGAGGGGAGGGAGGGTGGAGTGGAGGGAGGAGGAAAGAAGAGGGGAGGGAGATGCTTCTCGTCAAGGCTGACCTATCATCACTTTTGGAGCCCTCTAGGTAATTTGCATGCCAAGGGGAGATGAGACTGTTTGGAATCCATTCAAGTCATCTGTGCAGCACGGTGGGTCTAATTGCCTGTCTGATGAACTAGTCTACCTGTGATGGTGCAAATTGCAGTGCAGAGATTCGCTGTTGTGCCGTGAACTCCTGCTGCCATCGCGCCTGCTTTCCTGAGCCGTCATTCACCATGCGAGACATCTGCGAGGCACGATGACAGCTGACAAGGAGAAGAGAAGGTAAAGCAGCGTGTTGCTTTGTTCATAGGGGCATTCATTTGGCAGCAATAAATCTTAATAGATCAAGTTTAAGTGAGTTGCCAGCTAACTGAGGTAAAGAAGTGAGGTCAAAGAGAGTGCTGTGGCCACTCTGGATGCCTCAGATCTTAACCACGGTGCACTGTTGACCTTCCACATCTCTTCATCAGTGGTGGGGGAACTATTAAAAAACAAAGACACTAAAAACTGCAAAAGATAGAATTCAAATACTTCAAGGTAAAGCTCTGGAATCAAGTCTTTCAGTAGAAATGAGGCAATGTTAGCAGTAAAAACACTGAAGGTGAAGTAGGAATAAGCATGGAGATTGAAGAAGTGTCACATATTGAGAAATTCTCTAAACTCACACAGATTATGTCAAAAGTTCACAGTGTGATGAAGCTGAAACATGACTGTTTTTACAGTTCCTGTAAAGCTGAGGAACAATGTCACTTTATTTATTTATTTATTTATTTTTCCTTACATCAGTTTGAACACAGACTCCAAGTCTGCAGAGTCACAGCATTAGCAGGCAAAATGCAGAAAATGAACAATATTATCTTCCGATATCAAAGAGAGTACATTTTAAATAGTCTTTGAGAAAATGCACTTCATCCAGTATCATCTCACTTTTACTTTAGTGACTAAATGAGTGAGTTTTCTCTAGTTTATATGTATCTATGTTGTGTGCAGCATAGAGCATACTTGCAGTAAAATGGTGTTTATAAACTTATCTATCTTAATTTTAGGTAGTAAAATCTGATGTAAGTTTGATTGAGAGAAATTTAGTTCGGCCTTCTTTGCATTTCCTGACTTCTGCTTTCTGAAGAGCGATCAGCCGTGAGGCTGCTCGAAGGAGACGGCGAGTGGAGTCTGACGTGTTTGGGGATTTGTCTCGCCTCCTGCCGCTGCAGCCCTCCATCAGAGCTCACCTGGACAAGCCCTCCGTCATTCGCCTGACCCTCAGCTACATACGCATGCACACTCTGCTCAAAGGTAACAGCGCACATGTGAAGACATTTAACACCGTCTCTGGCCTCTGTGTGTGAGATACACTCAGAGCAAACTGAATCACAAGGAGAAAAACACCACTTGAAGTCAGTAAATATACGCATTTACATATTTATGGCACCATTTATGTTCTGGGCACTGATATTAGTTTGCAGGTTTTAGAGAAAATATAGTGAAATATAGAGAAAACCTTCAAATGATGCAAATGCTTTGTTTCTTTGATGAGATTTCCTTTATTTCTCCTGAAATCTGGGAAATTCATACAACCCCCCCCCCAAAATAGCTCACAAAGTGTAGAGAACAAGCACAAAAATAGCTAAAATTGAAATGTTAACAGTGCTGTTCAAAAATAATGTGTTTCATAATACAAACAGATGTCCAATAAGGTGATATCCATAAATAAATACATGCAATTGGGCTGTTTAAACTATTTAATTCTTGCTGAGGTGTGTCTGGCCTATTTATTTATCAATCCATTATCCTGCCAAGAATCCCAGGAGTCTTTGTGTTTGCTCTGCGCCTGTCTCACAACAGTCAATCCATCCGCTTTAAATTCAGCTTGTGTTTGGGTTACATTTGACCTGTTTTGACATTTGATAGCAGCAGAAATGCTTTAAATGTTTCTAAAGTGACCTGAAACACACAGAAAATGACTAACATGACTAACAGGTGCTAAAAATATTTTACAAATGGATTTTACATCAATTTCAGGGAATCCTGCAACTGTGCATGCCGTGTCTATGTGTATTTCATATGGGACAGTAGTGACAGTTCAAGGTGGACCTCAACACAATTGTATATGGTGTTTCTCTACTCAGTTTTAGCATTTAAAGTGTTTTCTTCCTCCAAGCCTCATTCACACATTCATACACAAGCCTTTTATCGAAACCCAGTTGCCGTTAACCACACATTCACACACTCATATTCATACTCTGATGGAAGTATTAGGGGGAGCTCATAGCTCTACCACCTGACCCAAAGAAATCTGCTAACAGAGTAAGAGTAAAACAGCATAAGAGTGATCATATATGGAGAACATAAGGAAGAGCGGCCGTACAGGGGTCACAGGATCTGTTGACACAAACACAAGATCTGAAATTTTTCAGCATGGCGGTGGAGTGGTTAGTACAGTTGCCTCACAGTTCCTGGTTTAAATTTTCTGTGTGGAGTGTACGTGTGCTCTCTGGGCCTTCAGGGGTTTCCTTCAGTTTTCTTTTGGCCCGTCTCCTCGTCTCCTCCCACGGTTCAAAGACATCCATGTTAGGTTAACTGGTGAGTCGAAACTGGTTGTGGATGTGAGGCAGAATAAAGTGCTTGAAGTAGATGGAATAAAGCGGTGTATTAATGTGTGGTTAAAGTGTGAGTTGTAGCTAAAAGTGCTTTGTGTGGTCAGAAGAACTAAAAAAGCACAACACAAATGCAAGGACATCACGTGAGCACCCACAACGGAGCAAAATAATCTAAAAATAAACAAGTTAGAATTAAAGTCTGAAATCAGTCTGATTCGAGTTAAAACTAACTGAGATTATGAAGCTAACCAAGCTGCCAGTTCAGTGAGTGTGGAAAACACACATGCAAGATTTCCTACTGATGCTTTTAATGTGCAGACTAATCCTTTTTTAAAGCATTTTGTGTGTTTCAACTGACAATTAATCTCTAATTAACACTGATAATTATAAATGGCAGTTTTAATGATATAAGAGTGAGGAAATAGTTAACAGCTGTAATGGTTATATAATAAAGCTCAACAGTTCACGTTCAGTAAAATACATTTAAATTATTATGGCTGTCTTAGGACATGAGGTTGGGTGATCACAGTGTTTTTTCTCTTTTTCTCTTACATCTAATAAATAGATTAATCATCTATTTATTACCATCACAGAGACTATTTGTACAGAGTTGTAGTTCTGAGTCAAATCTTGGCTCCACACTTGGACATGAAATATGAGCAGTATGAAAGGGTTATGTAAGGCCATGTGCAAATTCATGTTTTCATCCCTTCATCCCAGAATATTGGGTTAATTCAACTTGATTAAATATTTTAATATTATTATGTGGTTTTCAGTGCCCCACTTCCAGTGGCTCAGTGTCCACAAACCACTACCATAACTTAACCCCAACACCAAGTCTTAGCACGCCAGATATTTAAATATGTGTGAAAAACCAAAATGATTTAGTCACTCTGAAAATCTAAAACTCAAGCTGGTTCTCACAGAGCAGAGAAGCACACCCGTTTTTGTTTTTGCTTTTGTTTTTGTTTTTGTCATATTCTTTTTTCTTTTGTTTCCTGTGTGAGTTAATTTCACTCAGTCGTGCCGTTTAGATCATCAGTTCTCAAGAAAGCTAAAAACCACAATCTGTCAGTTCTGCACAGCCGTGTTGTGAGCAGACACCTTGGCCATCTCTTTAAAATTAGACACCTATAAAATTTGATGCTTTGCCGCACGTGCTGCATTTAGAAAACATCTGTCAATTGTATATACAAAAAATTAACAAGGGTTACACTATTCATAAAAAGGAACTGGACTAATAAAGACAAGTTAGGATAACAGGCTCGTGTAGTTTTTTCTGCTTACTTAAAAGGTTTTCAGATTAATACATTGTTAAAATGTGGAGATGCAAAAAAAAAGTGAAGAAAAAAAATTCAACGGGCTTGTGGGTTTTAGATTCAGATTGGTTTTAGAAAGAGGAAGTCTAAGATAACACAAGTACTAACAGCTGAAGCAAACACACAAAATGAAAAAGGAAACGCATCTTTTGTTATCCACTGAAAATGTAGACTAGAAAGCTTTGTCATGTAAAAACCACTCTGTTTGTCTTAGAAAATGATGGGATAAATGCCGGGAGTAGGCACATGATAACATATCAGCAAGCGGTGGAAGGTGGAGATGAACAGAGCGGCTGTGACGGAGCACAGGACGAAGAGGAGAAAGACACAGAGGAATTCGAAGCCTCGCAGGAGACAAACATGTACCTGGGGATCTTGGAGGGATTTGTCATGGTCTTGTCCACTGAGGGAGACATGATCTTTCTGTCTGACAATGTCAGCAAGTACATGGGCCTGACTCAGGTAAATAAACCCACATATATTCTTACTATTCTTTTAAATAACCAGTAGGATTCAGGACTGAAATACTCTTCTATGTTTTCTCAAAGACTGAGTTGATGGGACACAACATTTTTGAATATACTCATCCCTGTGACCATGAAGAAATCAGAAGTAATCTGCGTCTAACAGCAGGTGGGTATTTGAACATCAAGTATATACGTTTTTCATATATGTTGGACACCATTTCAAAGCAAATATCTAATCAGCCAATCACACGGCAGCAACTCTGTGCATTTAGGCATGTAGATGTTGTCAAGGCGACCCACGGAAGTTCAAACTGAGCATTAAAACAGCAACTCAAATACCCACTCGTAGCATCCAAGACACGCAGAAGAGCATCTCTAAATCCACAAAATGTTAATTTGAAGCAACTGGTTTACAGCAGCAGAAGACCACACTGGGTGCCACTTCTGCCGGACTCACCAAAATGGGACAAGGAAGATTATAAAAACATCACCTGCTCTGATGAGTGTCAGTTTCTGCTGCAACATTCACATGGTATGGTCATGATTTTGTGTAAACAATATTAAAGGATGGATCTATCCTGCCTTGAATCAACATTTCAGGCTGGTGGTGGACGTATAATAGTGCGGGGGATCTTTTCTTGTCACACTTTTGGCCCTTTATGACCCACTGAACCGAATGACGCACTTTAAACACCAGAGCCTATCTGACTATTTCCATTGAGCATGTACTGATGACAGGTTCTTGTCTCAAAGCTCAAATCATCTCAAGCTGGTTTCCTGAACATGAAAATGAGTTCACTGTACTCAAATAGTCTCGACAGTCACCACATCTCTTCAATGGAATGGGAGATTCCCATCATTGATGCGTAGCTAATAAACCGGCAACTAAAGAAGTTCTGAAGCCATAAAGGTGGTTTAGCATATTGTACCTAACAAAGTGTCCAGTGAGTATATCATCATACAGCTTTGTCCATGTGGCTAAATTAATTACTTATTTTTAGAGGAAGTTTGGTACGGTGAGAAGAGGGACTTTGTCATGAGGATAAAAAGTGCTCTGACTCACAGAGGAAGAACCGCCAACCTCAAGTCGGCTACTTGGAAGGTTCGTGAGAAACAGTACCGCTTAAAAATATCTTTTTTAAAAATGGCCCCCTGGTCTACATCATGATGATTTTTATCGCACCTCCCATTTCCAACTCTGTGAGTTCAGGTTCTGCACTGTCAGGGCCGAGCAAAGGTGTGCGTGGACCCATCTGCAGTTTCCTGTCTGCTCCTGACCTGTCGGCCTCTGCCTCTCTCACACACCCTGCTCAGCAGATACACCTTCACCAGCCAGCACAGCATGGACATGAGGTTTACCTATTGTGACCAGAGGTGTGTACATGCATTCAACCAAAGGTGGAATTTGTTGTTTATTTAAAGGCTTGTCTTTTTGTAATTACTCTTCAACTAGTAGCTTCGATTAATTAGTGCTTGTGAATAAGCGGAAATAAGTAACAACGGGAAAAAACCCCCAACAAAAAAACCCCCATGCAGATGCATTTTTAACCACCATATATATTACTTTAATACATTTAAAATGAATGCAGGATGTTAAGTTGAAAAACAGGAACATGTCTGGTAATCTTATTATGCAGTGCTGGATATTATGAAATTATATTTTTTCAAAAAGGGACAATTTTCGAAGCCAATTCGGAGCCAACTTTGTTTAAAAACTGTGCTGCATTAAGTGTTCTATCTGAACCCTCAGCCAAGAAAGCTCAACCAAAAAATCGGCTACAGTATACAGTTCAAACATTAAAGTAGAAATCATTACAACAAGTTTCATTATGATTCTGGTTAGAAAATCCTGATATGTCATAGTTATAGCAGATTGGTAGTTAATAACCTTCAGTGTAACACATTTCAGGGCCTGACCTATGTTTATATAAACAACTCTGTGGTTATAATGCAAACCCTTGCCAGCTGAGAATGAGTGCACAGCATAATGTGTGACTGTATGAAAGCAGTGAATTGTAAACTTGCTTTTGGTGTTGGCTTTTGCACTTTTGTCATTGGAATTAAAGAAGAATGACTGTGCAGTTGTTTGTAAAGGCAACAGTGACTGGTTTATTAACATGCTTTTAATCCTCAGTGTTGCTGACTTGTAAAATCAAATCATTTTGCCTCGTGTGTGTTTCTGTGTCTGCAGAGTGACTTCTCTTTTGGGCTACAGACCTGAGGAGCTGCTGGGCCGCTCCATCTATGATCTCTGTCACGCACTGGACACAAGCTGTTTGAACAAAAATCATCTAAACTGTAAGCACTGACACACACACACAGACATGCACGCGCACACACTACACACCTATAAATACTTAACTCCGTATTTCCCCGCAGTGTGTCTGAAGAACCAGTCAGTCAGCGGTCAGTACAGGATGCTGGTGAAAGGTGGAGGTTACGTTTGGGTGGAGAGTCACAGTGCTGTCATCCCCAGCGTCCGACCCTCCAGGTCCAGACCTGGCATCCCCCAGCCGCTCTGCATCCTCAGCGTTACCTACGTCCTCAGGTGTGTGCATTATTTTTGAAACCGCTTTGATTTAGCATGGCCATCACAGTAAACATGTTATTGGCTTTATTTCTAACCAGATTGGTAGCTCCATTGTCACCTCCTGACTCAGGACCAGGCCCTATCTCTTAACCCAAATCAATTTTAAGAATCATTTCTGGTGGTTTACCCAGACTACAGTGATGCATTAACTTCCAACATGCGACTCTGACAATAAATGATCCTTTCAATGATTAATGATCAACCAATTTCAACCAATCCACAAAAATGCCTACCACAGGTCTTTATAACATCCAGGGTGTTTGCACAAGCTGGAGCACTGATGTCCCAAATGGAAACGTGTTAATGGAAAGGGATTAAAAAAGGTGTTTGCAGGTAGATTTGTACGCCATAGCATCTATTATTTGTGAAGGGGAGAATATGAATCGAATAACTTAAAGCAACATATTATTATCTTTGAGGCTGTAACTAAGGATGATAAGTTATTGAAAATTAATTTGTTGATTATGTCTTAATAGAGAAATGTAGTATGATGACCTGTAGGGTTCCTCAGTAGTCTGGGCCTGGACCTCCTGTTTTCTTTATACATGTTACCCCTGAGGCATGTCATCCACAGCAATGGTGTGAGTTTTCCTTTTTATGCAGATGACACACAGCTGCGCGTCTATTTTAACCTCATGTGACATTCTCTTAAAATCAAATCATTGAGTGACTGCATCCAATATATTAAATGCTGGATGATACAGAAGTTCTTGGAACAAAATATGGATAATTAAAACTGAAGTAATTGTTACTGGCCCCAGTGAATCTGACACGCTCACATGGACGCACCTGAACTCCGTGTCTGTAAAGTTGGGCCAGTACTGTAAAAGCTTTGGCATCAGTTTTAACAACCAGGTCACACTGAATAACTTTTCAGTTCAGTTTTTCAGTCTCGTTAAAGTAGCTTAGGAAACTTATCAGCTCCGTTTTATTCAAAGGAAATCTAGAGAAAATCGCACATTTCTGGGTTGGATAAGTAAAACTCATTATACGCAAACTATTGCTGATTCGAACTGAAACTTCTTACTAAAATCAAAAAACAACAGATCACTCCCGTTTCGGCTTCACTTCATTGGTTAACTGTTAATTTTAGAACTGATGTTGTTGTTGAATTTTAAGGCCAGCTGGCATCTGACATATTTGCCTGGTTTAAAGCTGCTGGGCAACCCACAATCATTGGTTGAGAGTCAATGGTGATCTGGCTTTTTCTGTTAGGAGATCCATTCTTTGAGACAATCTTTTTTTGAGATAAGCTGTTTTCTTTTCTCCATCTTGTCTCCCAAAGCACTTGGGAACTTTCTTTTAAAGAAATTCATAAAATATAAAATATCTCCTTTGCAAAAACTCAGATAAAAGTGAAAACTCTGAAGGTAGAATGTTGTTTTGTCGTTGCTGTTTTAATACAACTCAGAGTGCTGTTATTTACAGATGTTTAATATTGTGTGCATGTGTGTGTCACAGTGGTGTGGAGCAGCCATCTCTGCAGCTCTCCCTGGACCAGACTATCCACAGATATTTGAATTGAAATCGAGATCTGAAGTGATGTCTGCGAAACCTTCCGTCCTTCTGGGAGCCCTCATCGATTATTTCTATTAATCAGATTTCATTAAATTTTTGACTTTTAAAATCAGAGTGGCTGTCTCTGTGTCTTGATGCAGATTATTGTATGCATTATTTGATGAAGAGTGTTTGGATTTAGACTGTTGTCTGTTAATTACATCCACAAACTTGTAAAAGGATGTTTTGTTAGTTCAGGTAGATATGTTGTTGTATTTGGAGTTTTTCCCTTCACAGTTTCTGTCTTACACTTTTGCAGAATTACTGCAGTATGACAGCTTCTCATTCTCTAAAACAAAAAACTGAAAGCCTAGGTGTAGACTGTGGTTGATAGTCAGTTGACGGGGTGTTCTGAGAGTTCAAATATGTTGATGAAAGCAGGCAGTTTGACTTTTTCTTGACCTCCCTGGGCCTGACCTTACTTCCTTTGGGGTTTCCTTCTGAGCCACCTGACACGTGGGGTGACATCTGACTGCCAGCCATAATGCAGCGCGCACACAGACATGCACATACACACACATACAGGCTATATAGAGAGAGATACGCATTGTGCTGATGTGGAGATGTGAGTAGACGCAAGTCAAAGCCACAGCTTCCTGAATAGAAACACACGATAGGAAAGTTCTCATGGGAACTCTGTCAACTTTTAACCTCTTGGCCTCTAAATGCACGCAACACACACACACACACACCTACACACACACACACACACACACACACCAGGCTGTTTCGAGTTTCAGTTCAGTTAGTTTTACTACTATTGAATCAAAGTGAATCAAAACATTCACTGTAAATGAAAACAGTCCGAAAAATTACAAAGAACACATGATGAATATAGTTTTGTTAATAAGAAAATTATGAAAACCCCAAATTATTTCTCTGTGTCCGCTGTTCACAAACATATGTTGTTATACCAACATAGCACCTGCTGAATGAGCATGCTCTTCAGCTCCTCCTTTGCATCTCTGCTGTAACTGTGATCCAGGAAGCACTGATGTGGTTATTCACGGTGTCTAGACTTCTCTGGTAAAACATAACTGTGCTGAAAGTTGTTTTAGCCACCATAGTTATATATAAAACTAGTGTTTCACTGACTTTATTTCAGCATATGTTGAACCCTTTGAAGTTATAATGCTTTGTTACGCATCAAACCATTGTTTCTCAACATTTTTTAGCGATGTACCCTGAGCTTAAAATACTTTTTCCACCAAGTGCAACCTCAAGCCAAAAACAGAAAAGAAAAAAATGTGAGAGATGAAAAAGAACCCCCATAACTGCGTATTACATTAGATTAACAAGAAGATGATATCATAGGTGTACAATCGGAGTCTCTCTGCTAAGTTGTGCTTAAATTGAATGACAAACATGGGCTGTTTTTTCACCGAGGATCTTAGTCATCTGTAAACAAATGTCAGTTGCTTTCACCTTTTGTGAGGCTTAACGGCCGTTGACTTTGTCATAACATTGGAAACAGAACTTTCCAGACTTATTTTTCATTAAACTTACAATTTATTTCATAACTTGGGGGAACTTGAAAGCAAAAATTGACATAATCGAGACTATCTCAAAAATGATGCTCTTATTTGGGGAAAACTCAGCAAAGGACATTGGCTGTCTCAGTGTTGGAAGAAGATGCAGTCTCCCAGCATATTCATCTATGATGCTAAAAGAATCAAGTGCCTCCAGTGCTGATAGCCTAAAGGGAAAAAGGTGGCACATACACGAAAATGGTTCTGATTAAGCACGTTTGTTGACATGACCAGAATAAATTTAGATTTTACAACTTTTTCCTGTAGTTTTGTTCAAATTCTGCCCATTTAGCTTTGGGTAATTAGCACTGGAAAATACTGGCTCCAACTGATAACTCTGGTCATTAGATTTTTTTTTTAATGGAAGGTTTCTTTGCAAAGGTAGTTCTTCTTAAATCTGGGAAAGTAAAAACAAGGAAATGTAAAAGTCAAACGCTGTCTGCGAGTTGGAATTTGCTAATTCATTCAGTATGTGGAGTAAAAGCTCTTGTTACAAAACAAACAAACAAAATAACAGCTTGTCATTTTTTAGAGCTTTGTCACTAAGTGGTATGACAGAATAACAGAAACAGAATAAACAGAAACACAATATCACAGCAGATGTGAAGGTAAAATTATTAATCAAGCAAATATTTAATGTTTTAACTAATCTTATCTCATTGTCCCACTATCCAAACATATGAAACCAAACTTATGTTTTAATGTTATTTGTACATTTTCTTTCACATTTTCTTGGCTCAGGAAGCTCATTGCAGTTTCAAAGAAGAAGGCCTGCAATGATTTGCATTCTCATCCTCACACTGATGCAGTGACACCAGAATGTGGGAACAATGTTTGCACCATCTAGTGTTGAATGCTAGTCACTGAAGCAAACCCAGTCGCAGTGTTAGTTCAAACCTCCATCAGTCTTTTTAGTTTTGGCTACAGCTTAATGTTCTGCATGGATCAAAACCATCTCATGTGACTTGTGATTCTGGAAAGCATCCAACAATAATTTTAATAGTTTTTATTTACGTGCTCATAAAAAGCACAATAAAAAAACATTCATATTACTTTTAATGTGTATTTACCTTTTTACTATCCGAAACTTATGGATAGATTTAATGAAAGAGTCACCAGAGGTAGAGCTTTTCTGGATTCTTGAAGAGAATCTGAGAGGATTATTTTGCTAAATTGTACATTTCTTATCATAACTACAGTGGCCCTGAGAGGTCTTTTAAGCATGTCACAGCGAAATCCTTCACGTTTTAGTTTTTGACACTTCCGCAGCTTTTCTGCCACATTATTGTTTCCCTTAAATCACTTCTGTTGTGCATTTTTCCAAGTGATTCAGTTGCATTGCGTTCGACCTCCCAGGGCTACTGTACATTTCTTTACAAAGACCTTTCAAATATACAGTAATGCGAAAGATATCTGACGTTTTCTTTAGCTTATTAGACTAATAAATAACAAATTAATCCCACTCCAGAAAATCTTTGAATCCATTGAGTACATTTTGCATGGAACATAACTACCTGTTCGCAATGCAAAAAGTGTTTCTTCATATGCTATTATGTGTAAAGACCCTCAGGTTATCAACTTCCTGAAACAAGTTGTTTTTGTTCTCTTCTGACTGAGAACAAACAGGTCTGAAGAGCAGGTGGGCGGACCCCCCCGTGCTTACAGTGCTTGAAATGACCATATTAAGAATATCTGCTCTCAGTGACATCATAAAAATCCAAGAGCCCTCAGAGTTGTCTGAAACCTGAGCCTTAGACTCACAGACGTTAATTGTAAATCTTACTATTATTATTGTTATTATTAATTAGGTTTTGGCCATCCACCTTTTTTTAAAAGCATGTTTACAGAAACCAATGAAAAGTGAAATAGGCCAACTTAAAAACAAATGAAAGGGAATTGAAGACCAGTAACATTAATAACCAATATAAGTCCATATTTATAAATATTGATTCTTTAATGAAGGATATCATAACATACGCAGCAATCACAACATCATGACATAACACCATAATCAAAGAAAACATGGGGAAATAATATTTTGTAATCTTTTTCAACATGCTATAGTTCATCAGATTTATTAGGTGTACTGTAACCATATTGGTTGTCAAGGTGACCCAGATGACCGTTGCTGCCTTGCACATTGCTTCAGAGCCCTGTTCTCTGCGGTTTCACCAAGTGTTCAGCCACACAGAGTGGAGATAAGAGGTGGAGGAGGCAGAGTCCAGTTTCGTCAGATCCCATTTTACATTCTAGTTTCACAACGTTCTCACGCAGGAAGGCAGGAAGACCGGGTTTAAACTCATATGTGCTTCCTGGGAGAGCAACACATGAGTCCTCTGGGTCTAGCCCTGTTTACGTCAAGCCCCCATTACCTTTTCCTACCCTCTTCTCCTCCCCCGACACACCCCTATGGTTGGATGGGTGTTGTCAGGCCCTCAGCCAATGACATTACAGCGAATACCCTTTGAACAAGCCACGATAAATCAATCTGTGTCAGTGGAGGGAGGAAAACAGGCAGAGGGAAGGATCTTAAAGATAAACTGGAAAGCATTGCTATAGTGATGAGAAAGAACTTTGCACTAATATCCTAATGAAATGAAGACCTACAGTTTCATGTAACTGTTAGTAATTATTTTATTGTGGAATTATAAAAACATATCTAGATGGAAAAGTGCGTGAAAACAGATATGAATGAAAGTGACCTCTGGTGGTCTGTTCAAAGTTCTCAGACTGATTTCGGTTTTATGTGTCAGCCAAAGAACAGGATTCACTGCCAAAGAAATAACCGTGACTTCCTTACATTTTGCATTTATATGTTTTGCTTAGTTGGTTAGAAAATGAAGAAACTTGTATCTTAAATCTCACAACGCAGTCTTATGCAGTGATGACAACTGTGTGCTTAATGGAAGAAACTGTCTGCAAGTTGGAATTTGCTACTTCATTCAGTATGTGGAGTAAAAGCTCTTGTTACAAAACAAACAAACAAAATAACAGCTTGTCATTTTTTTTTAAAGATTTGTTACTGTGTTACATGACAGTTGTGCATGGACAGGAAAGTTGGGAGAGAAGAACTATGTATATGTCACACTGTGGTTAAATGGTGATATTGCCTGAGAAATTATATGTCTGATTTTTCAGGCTTATGATGCGGCAACATGTATTACTTCAGTTATCATCTGTTTGTGTAAGATCTAAGATGTGTTTCTTATTGTTCTTGTTGGTCACAGTCATGTGACCTGTCACAGGTGATTTAAGATGTGTTTTACTGTCTGAAGAAGAGCAAGTATGCTCAAAATGTTACAAGGTGCTAGAGGCGATAAATAAGCTAATTTGAGACGTCCCCCGTATGATGGTGAGAATGTGCCTGGATTTTTTTTTATCCTGTTTTAGAGGGTAAAGGGAAGACAGCAAATGGCCTGAGCCAGATTCACATTATGTATTTTTATTATTTAATTCCAAGGTACAGCACTTTGCATCATCTGTGGTGGTTTTAAAGTGCTTTATAAATAAAGATGCTGATGAATTACTCAAACCATCCTGTTTGACACCCAACAATCATGTCGTGTTCTAACTCACTTAAATCCCATTTCTTCCCAATCAGATGCTTGGTTTGAATTTACTATCATGTGACTTGCTGATTTGCATTTTGTATCTTTAAATTTGATGGTGTGGAAAATCTTTATCTTCTTTTTTCATTTTTTTCTGTACCTGAATGGGATTGAATACATCCACAATCCTTTAGCTTCAGTTGTATATACAGTTTAAGATTATCTTTACTGCTGTTTTCTTATCTAACAAAATGGAGACAGAGAGCAAGCATGAGTGTTCAGCCTAGGGTATAACCTTTCTCTCCTGCCTGTCGTACAAAACTAAAATCCAGCCTCATTCCAGCTTGATGTTTGTGTTACCCTTACCAATCGATAAAGCTGTACCACAAAAACAGAACAATAGAAGGATAACGACTACTGGATGAGTGATTACTCTCGATTATATTTTCTAAATGACAACAGAGTGACAGTACCAGAAACTGAAAGCATTCAGATTTGAAGCCTGATCAACCTCATATGTATTTGGACATATGTTGCAAAATGAACTACTATTCAATATGCTTTTCATATTCTGTCTCCTCTGTTTAAGCATATGGATGAACATTTGCACATGCACGCAGAAAGTGAATCTAATCTTATCTTATGTGCAGAGTCCACATGTGTAAGCACAGGTCATTCAGACAAGCTCAGCACTGGTTCTTTGTAGAGTAGTGGATCATTTACACACACATATGTTTGTGTGTATGTGTGTAATTATGTCAGCATGTTAGGAAAGGCCGTCACGCTATCTTGGTTGTGCTTTATCAATGGGAGTGAATCGAGTGTCATGTTTAACGAGTAAAAGTGTGGAGCATTAGCATTTTTATAAATTTATGTTGATATAATGGCTACTGCTGTGAAGTGAGACAGAGATTTACAGCAGATATATCTCTAAATTGTACTCCATTGTGTCTGACTGTTTTTTATGTTTTATGCATAAAATACCAGAAAAAGCTTCGCTGATTGGAAGATCAGCAGGTTGTTCCCGTGATACCCCCTGCCCCTCTGCTGACTCAAGAGACAACTTGAGCAACCTGGTAGTGACGTCAAACTCTGTGGAGGACACCAGGACACCAGGACAGCCTCACCTCCACAGACACGCACAAATTAAGTACTATTTAAAAATACAACAGATCCTTTGTACTCCTTTTGTTCATAGGTCCATAAATTTTCAACCCACTCAAAATTTGTATTAGAAAAGAACAGAAGAGTAATTTTGGAAAATTATTACATGTATCTGTTTAGAGTGGAGTTTGTATGTTGTCCCTTTGCCTGCATGGGTTTCCTCTGAATGCTTTTGAATACATCCTCTCACAGACCAGAGACATGGTTGTGATTCTAACTTGGCCATGGATGTAAGTATGTAACAGAGTGCTGAATGGTTAAAATTTGACACGTCTAAAGCGCTCTGAGTGGTCATAAGATTAGATAAGCAGTATAAATCTGAGTGCATTACATTAACTTACACATTTAAGGACTAAGCACATGGTAAAATATGAATAAATGGTGGAAAATGGAGAAGATTGGAGCATTTTATGTGGGGGATGGGATTAAGAGGAGAATTCAAGTCCTCGGAGGAGACAAACATGTACCTGGGGATCCCGGAGGGATTCGTGATGAATTTGCAACCTAATGTCATTCACACATGTGCAAACCACGAGTTCCCAAAATTATGACTTTAACCACAAACAGCTGCACAGATAAACTTGCAGGAACAGCATTCATGCATAGACAGATCACAAATAAAAGGTGGGCGTTTTGCTTGTAGAATGACATTTGTAGGGACGACGGCGTATCAACAAAACTGCTAGGTCTACAGGTGCTATATTATTAGGTTTTAGTTTAGTTTTTTTCCTGTATCAGCTCTTGAAATCCAGTGTTGAAACTGTCAAAAACCAATCATTTGCTGTCAAAACTGCAAATTTTAAGCTTTTATTCTCAGCACGCTGGTGAATCTCACCTGAATGTCTCAGTTTGCAATGTTGCTCTACCTCTTTGGTCAAGATTAATAACTAAATTGCTGGTGGTCCTCCAGCAATTTAGTGCCACTAAACATGGGCTTATGCTGACTTCCAGTCGAGCAAGAGGACAACATGAACCAGGAGTCCTATTATAGCTTTGTCAAGGGAGGGCAAGGTGTGGATGCATTGCATTTAATGTCTGGTGGCACGAATTAGGCCATATCTATAAACCTTAGCTTTGCTTTATGTTCTTTCTTTATATATTTCTTGGGCTTTCAGCCTTTGTTGTGAGACAAGAGTGGTGAGAAGACAGGAAAGCTGGTGAGAGAGAAAAAGGGGGGAAATTTTAACCAGGCTATTTAAACATGTTTATGTTTTTGATTTAAACAAAGGCTATTGCCTTTGCAATATGTCATAATGCCATATTGCAAAGGCAATATGGCATTATGACATATTGGCCACCTGTTAAACCTAGTGAGCCAGACTTTCACTCTGTTTTGTATTATTTCTTACTCTGAAATGAAAGCATGCTAAATATGAAAACAAACAAATGTTTTCATATTTAGTTTCTTTTTCAAATTATTCAACTGAGTCTGACAATAATTATTTGTGCTAACTGTCACAAACTGGAAATGACCAGATCACTTCCCTCATTAATTATTGATGCCTGTGACTGAGGTTAATGACTGATTCAGGCACAATGGGCCTTTTGAATGTCTCGCGTCTGACTCACCCTCTCGCTTCTCTCATGGCTGCGTGTCGCTCGCCCAGCAGATCAAGGAACTGCTGATGACAGCAGACGAGGCAGAGAGATCCTTTGATCAAACCACAAAGTACAAAACTATATCACTGTGGCCCCTGAACAAAAGCTAATGAATGACCAGGCTGGTGCTCGTCGTGTAGCTGCAAGCTTGCTGTCAAGATTAATGTCTTGAGGTTTTACTTAGAAGGGAAGAAAAACAAACAAACAACAAAGACTCATTCATAATTTGAACCATAAACAAGAAATAAACTTGTTTACTTGTTACCTAAATGGGCTTCAAATATTACAGCTTCCTCCAGCCTAACATGAATTTACTACAGAAACTAATGGAGTTGCAATATGGCATTTCAGATCTTTAAATCTCTGCAGCCTTTGTATCTGAATCGTTCCTGACAGAAATATTTAATTCTGCGTTCTTCTTAACCTTAAAGTGGAGTGGTGGGGTCATTTATGACATATTCATATACTGTTGTAATATTTTTGATTCTAACAGTGCTGTCAGTCTACGTCTTCTACAACCTTTCAGGGTTTGTTACAAATTGTTTTGGGTTTTTTTTTTCAATATATAAGATTTGATTCAATTGTAATTTTGCACTTATAAGCACTACATTGTAACATTTTGAAGGTAACCATGGCTGAAAGTCCTATAACCAGGTTCAGAAATATGTTGAAATGCATGCAGGACAGGCTGTGGACAAACTTGCTGTTATCAGTGATTTTTGGAAAAGATTTGTTGCCGTTACACAAATACTATAACCCCAGCACTGATCTTTGTGTAAGATAAACAGTTGCAGACTGGTGCAGTTTAGTTGTATCTCTTCTAAATCAGCCGCAGCAGAAAAATCTGGGAGAACTGTGATAGCAAAAAAAACAAAAACATAATTAAATACATGTAAACATTTTAAAATATCTGTACTAGTCATTCTATAATAATACTCCAATTCATTTAATAACATAATAATATACACATAATAATCGGTATCAAGACATCACTTTAGAACTGATTTCCAGTCTTACTGCTCCCTCTTTGTGGTCTCTTACCATGTTAAATACATCCCCTGAGTAATACATAAGGCTGCTGAGATTCCCAGGCAGAAGTAGATGCCTTTTACCAATCAGAAGAAACCAGGATGGAAGAGTCAGTGCCGCTCCTTAAAACACACGCTCAGCTGCTGTAGTTTTATACAACATTTGGTTTTCTTTCTATGGTTTATCCAGCACCGACCTGAGGCATAAGCAAACTAAACAGCTGCTTGGAGGCTCTAGAGCACTTGAAATGTCACACAAGAAGGTTTGATGATAACTGAGAAGAATACAGTGTTTTTGAACTAGGAAAAGGAGGAGGAAATGTTGAGATCCTTAGATAGATGGAAATTTTAAAAAAGAGGAAGAGAAGAGGAGCAAAAGTGTGTAGGTGTTGGTAGGTCTTCCTGATTTCTCAGGTTTTTGCATATTTGTCACACTTACATGTTTTACATCATTAAAAAAAAGACAAAGATAAACAGTGTAAATACAAACGCTGTTTTTATAGGATGATTTCATTTGTGAAGCAAAAAAGCCACCCAAACCTACTGTAGCTGGCTCTATGTGGAAAAACTAATTACCCTGTACACCTAATAACTGGTTGTGCCAACCTCAGCAGCAAGAACTGCAATAAAGTGTTTGAGATAACCAGTTACAACCCAAATGCACTTGAGCTTCAGACTGGCCGTTCTCCTTCTAGGAAAGGGCAGAATTCATGGTTCCATTAACAGCAAGTTTTCCAGCTCATAAAGCAGCAAAGCAGCCCCACCCCATTACACTACCACCACCATGATTGACAGCCTATATGTTCTTTCATGAAATGCTGCCCTTGAAACCTTCCAAAAAAGTTTAACTTTTTTCTCGACATTCGACAGAACATTTTCCCTATCGTTCTGGGGATCATCAGGATGCCAAGAATCCCTCGTCTGGCATTTGACAGATTGTGTTTATTTTGGTCAATGGTGGCTTTCTCATTGGAATTCTCCCATGGATGCTAACTCTCCCCACTCTCTTTCTTATTGCTGAATCATAAACACTGTCTTTAACTTCAAGAAAGAAATTAAGCAGCGGCAGAATAGTTTCTGACAGCACTGAATATGACATTATCCTGATGAAAACCAGTTTATGTTTTATATTAGATATAATTTTGCACCGATCTATATGCCTGATTACTCAAGAGAGAAAGAGGAGGCTCGTGCCGGTTATTTGTGCCCGGACCTTTTCTTTTCACTGGAAATATAAAACAACGGTTCAAACCCGGGAGCGCGCACTCTTAACGGTTTGGCAATTGCGCGTACCCATGTAGGCCCTCCTCTTCCGCGTGCGTCTGGGAGAGCCTCAGTTGGTGTGGTCGGCTCGCGCTGCCTTTTAAAGCAAACTGACACGACATGCCATTTCCCACTCGGCCAGAGGACGGGACACGGTGAAGAGCTTTTGTGTCTCTCATTCTAACCCCTTTTCCTGTCGTCACCCCCATTGTCCTTGTTGTTGTTTAGTTTCCTTTTCTTTAGTTTGTTCACACGGTTAGCTAGTTTCAGTCATGTATCGGTATTTCGGGGAGCTGCTGAGCCGCTCTGCGGGTAGTGCCCTGGCCTCGGGGTGCGTGGATTCCGCTCTCCCGGCGTCCTCTTCCCTGATGAGGGTCCGTCGCTATGCCGACGCAGCAAACCAGCCCGACGACCCTAACTTCTTCAGGATGGTCGAGGGCTTCTTCGACCGCGGGGCCGCTATCGTAGAGGACAAGCTGGTGGAGGATCTGAAGACTAGGGAGAGCCCAGAGCAGAAGCGGAACCGTGTGCGGGGCATCCTGCGCATCATCAAGCCCTGTAATCACGTCCTGAGCGTGTCTTTCCCCATCAAGAGGGATAACGGAGAGTGGGAGGTGGTGGAGGGCTACCGCGCCCAACACAGCCAGCACAGGACACCGTGCAAAGGGGGTAAGAACTGAGCCAAACCACCTCCACCAACCCGTTTGACAGCTAGCTTTAGCCAGCTTTAGCCAGCTTTTTAGCACTATTTAGCAGCAATGCTAGCTTGCTTTGAAAAAGCATAAAATAAACTAAAAACACGAATTACTCCAGTAATTGAACCTTAGACGTTTTACTGCTAATTTAGCATCATGTTTCCTATGTTTGTTTATTATGTGTCACAACAACAGTGACCTTCCTCCTCACCTGTATCTGCTCTAGTTGGTTAGCTTGCAAACTAGCAGTTACCCATACTTTGTCCAGTCTTAAAAAACTTCAATTTTTAAGGTAGTTATGCATGCATACTAAGTTTGTCAGCCTGTGGTTTGATCAAGAGTTAAAGCACAGTCTCACTCTAAATGTTATGGAGAAAACAGACCTACTGGCATCAGGTGTCATACATAATTTTATGCTGACATCTCCCCATGTGTAGCACAAAACACAGGAAAACAGAACAAAGTCTACATTAAGATCTACCTAAAACTACTGCAAAAACATGGTATACTATTGCATTTGCTCTTGAGTATATAGTTCAAGGTTCAAAACCAGAAGCCTCAATCGGCTACTGCTGCGACTCGCCCTGGGTAAACTGTGAACAGAAGGTTTCAATGTATATAAGAAAAGATGAGGCATTAAAATTTAGGAGGGGCTGGCTGTGTTTCTAGGCATCCTATTTGTCAGTGTGACAGATGGGGGAGGGTGTTATAGAGAAGAGGAATTCTCTGAAGAAAGAAGACATGCATTTCATTTGCTGACTAGACAAAGGGCAAGTTTCAGTGGTGTGGAGAGACACTAGCCTGGTAATGACACTGTGAAACCTTTCCACGGCAGCTGCTTAATGTAGTGAACACAGCCCCATCGTAGGGGAGACCTATTTCTGTTCAAGACATGGTCATTGCATGTTGCCACTGAGCCCTGTACAAAAGAATTGGTTTAAAAAAAAAAAGGTTGGTAAACTATCTGCCTAGATGAGTCAGTGTGGCACCCACATGAAATATGTTTCACCCACCACCACCCACCCGACAAACCACTTAACGGTAATATAACCCATTTATGAATTTATAGCACTACTGCCTGTCCAGGCAGGAACCAGCACTCAGAAGCAATATAGGGACGTTCAAAATCAATAAGCTTGTCCAGCATCACGAGTATCTCCCCGATCCAAAGACAAATCAGAACAGTCTTGCATGAACTGCCCTTCACAGTAGCATTATTCCTGAAAATCTAAAGCCATGATCATGCTGGACTAATAGCTTATAGTTACAGTAACAGTAACAGGGCACAGTTCACCACAAAGGTGTACACGTGAATGTGTGTAAAGTATATTTATTGATCTATCTCTAGTCTTTTGTGGACAAGGCCAACTTGTATTTAATTTTGTGTAAGACAAACTTTATTCATCCATGTGAGATATCGTTAATCTCTCATTATATACTGTTGCAGTAAGGCACTTTTGCAGCCACAGAACCAACCAGATAATTAACACCTACAAATTAGCTGATTGTAGTTTGCACTACACAAGAAACCAATCTGTTTAACTATTTGCTACTTGCGACTACTTGTTTAACTACTCAAATTACACAGTTACACCCTTTGATATTTAGTAATATAGTAAATTTAAATCTTATTCATTACTTTTTGTGTAGTTGCAATAGTAGTAATAAAATGTGTAACTGACACAAAATCAGATGTATTTATTTATTTTTTTTGGTTTTTCTTTATTTGGTGTGTTACCCAGTTTTGTAGGTATCATAAAATCGAAGAGTGGAAATAAATGGCATTTGCCTGTCGACCAAACTGTCCCATTTAAAAGAAAAATAAATAAATAAATGAAAACGGCAATATCTCTTCCCAAATATAATGACATGACTAATCAAAATAAAATATACAGATCTTATTGTGAGCAGTTTTATGTAGGAACAATTTATTTCTATTCAACTACATCTTTCAGGCATATAAGAAAGTCTCCATGTACCACTGACAAGAGGTACATGGTAGTGACAGCTTATAAACGTTTAATGGCAACAGCCCCCTACAGCTGAGCTGTAACTTGGTTAGCTGCCTTTTTCTTTTGGTTGGCAGATGTTTACAGAAAAAGAACAGTTGATACATGAAGTTGCTCACAGCAAAAGTTGTGGAATTTGGAGTAACTGAGTTTGGGAAGTGGCATTGCTGCTGAGTTTTTAAAATGGATATTTGGCACTTTGATGACCACAAAGCAACAACCACCTAGTTTCACTTTCAAGAGAAGAAGAGTGATTTCTACACCCAGCATATCAAAAAAGGGGCCTGGGCGTCTCCCCACTTTTTAGTGGTACGCTATTAAAGGCCTACCACTGGGTTGGTTCTGGGTTTTTAACAAGGGAAACCCACCTGTCTGTTTTTTAAGTGGGGTTTAATTAACTTCAGTATAAAACACATATTTAATTTTCTAATGTCCAGAAATTATCATTTTGAGCCAGTAAAAATGAAATGAGTAGAATAAAGTACATCATTTAAACTTATTTCTTATCAGGCCCAGTTTATGATCTTATATTGGTTTAGCCGTCATATGCAGTTGTTACAGATTTGAAATAGCTTGAAGCATTGGTCCTTCATGACAGTCCCATGGATAATGGTCTGACTATGGTTTGAAGTTGTTATCTTTCAATGGCTTAATGATTGATGTAGTGTATGAAGCTTTTGCTGTATTCAGATCAAACTACAAAGTGCAAAGGCTGTCTGAGTGTGCATGTTGTGCTCATCTTCCCCCTTTTGAGAGCCACATAGACTGACAGCTGCCAGGCTGGACCACACTGCTTTTAACTGGATATGTGAATGCAAGAAGTGTTTTCTGTGTGAATGTGCATGCAAAACTGAAGAAGGCTACTGAAATTTTGTATAGTCTGCATAGTGATTACCATTGTTCTCCTTTTTTGTGCAGAAGTGTAATACATTTGTAGGTTATTTCATGTCACTGTTGTCACATGTGAACTGTGCAACACTGTGGAAAAAAATGGAGATACAGAGGACATCTGATACTGCATAAAAACTTGTAGACATTAAGTAGAACCAGTTTCATTAAAATGCACATTTAACAACACAAAACGGTGTCACAGTCCTCCGTTCCTAATCAGAGGCTTTCTCTGAGAAATTTACACTTCAAACACTAAAAGACTTGTGAATTACACCTTGATAAAAATATCTGCTTACAGCTGTCCAAATTCCTTTAAATGGGTCTATTCAGTGTCCTGATGTTTGAAGGACTGAAAGTTAATAAGTGTGTCCCTTATCATTTCAAGTCTGTTAATATTTCTTGAGGAAAAATTGAAAAATAATTAGCCGAGCTTTTAACACCATAAATAGTAGTTTTCTTAGTTATAATACAGTCAACAAATAAAGTAACATGGAAATGCATTTATTAAATCAAGAAACACCAACTTTTTATCTCCACTGTATGGGAACTAATGATGTAAACACGTGCAGTTTCTCCCCAGTTTGAGACAGAAAACAACCTGGTTTTAAAAAAAGAATTCCAATGTACAGGTTATAGTACTATTTAAATATATTTATGGCAAAGAATTTTGCAGTCTAAAAATAACATTTAAGAAAAATCTAATGTTAGATAATTGGCACTTTTGTTTGGACAAGAGAGAGCCATTAGTTTGAGTGCTGAAGGAAGTTTAACTTTGAGAGAAAACTCAAAAATCTGCCCACCCATTTTAGAGGAATGTGTTTACAGTCTGTTTTGGTACTTGTTGCTGTGGGTCTCTGTTGGTTGGGTGGGGAAAAGATGGTTGGATGGGGGATGGTTTGGTAGTCAGGCTTTTTTTCCCCTCCTTTTTTTAATTTGATCAGTAAACATACAATTGTCCTTTGCTGGCTGTGGTAATTCAGCTGATCTTTGGATGAATGGAAAATAAGAGCAGGGTCAATGCTCTGAAACACAGAGCTTTGTTTTTAAATGTTTTTAGTACCTCCTTTTTCCATTCACTATAGTTTAATGCAGTATTGCCAGAACAGAAAAGAAAGCAGAAGCTCTAACTGCAGTAATGAAAATACTAGTATGTACGGATAAAATTCCGTAATCCAGTGAAGTGGAGGATGTTTCCTGCTTCCTAATGATTATTTGGTGGGATTTGTTATGTATGTAACAAATGCACTCTAAAGAAAATGAGAATATGATGCCTTTGACAGAAATGTATGCATTTTCCTGACATTTTAGAACATCTGTTAAGCAAAAATGAACAAACCTGGTTAAGGGAAATCTTAAAATGCTAGTGAGTTCCCTTTTGACTCTGGCTAAAACTGCTTTGGTGGTGTTTTTCTGTGCTGGAGGGCCTCTGTGTAAGATGATTCCATAGTAGGAGGGGCTTTTACTTGTGCTGTAGTTTTCAGTATTCAGTTGAACAAGCATAGCTAGATATGCACACACAAAACATGCTGCTGTCTCCTCTTTGTGCGCTTCGTCCTTGGGCTTGTGTGTGTAAGCTAACCCTGGACCCTGCACTATTTTTGGTATTGCCATCTAACTCGTGTGCGCACACACACTGTGCCAATGAGACGGGGGTAGCGTGACATGCTATATGATCTCATGTAATGCTGCACATGTTGCTGCGGTGACGCTAGTAAACGCCAGAAAACAGGAAGGTATGACTCCAGCTGAAGGGCTGGGGTCACAATGGGGGGCTACGATTGGTTCATTTGGTCTCCACCCACCCTTTAATGTTGCCCTGACTGCCGTACACACTTGGCGATCTTTGACCCCATTCATGTGGTCTTCTGTAGTCATTATTAGTCTGGTTTTTCACAGTCCTTCTGTTATTCATTTTCTTTTGCTGTTGCTAACCTCTACAGACAGGGGAGACACTTTAAGACCAAGAATACTCTGGCTGCTTCATGATATGACAGTTGATGTTATTGGTCTGATGCTGCTGTGGTGAAAGTGCAATGTCCTGATAATGGAATATAAAAAGTGCATTATAAATACCTTCACCAACTTGTTGTTATCGTGTTGTTTCATGGAGGTCATGTTAAAGAAAAAAAGTAAAATAAAATACCAGTGAGCAATATGACTTCATGCCCACCAAGGCTGTGGTTTTAGATGGGGAATGGATGCCCTATAAAGTGAAATAAAATGGGTATCGCATTGAGATTAGTTGCCCATACTGTCCATGTCCACTCATTATCACTTCATGCTTGAGAGGTGATCCAGTCCACTTCTAATTTTGTGAAGTCTCTAATTAAAGATGGTTATAAAAGCTGGCAATATAACTAATGGAAAATGGTAACCCCTAAATTCACTTGTCATTTTAATGTAGCTCATAATCTTACTTGTTAGCTGTTTTACAGTCTTCACATATGGCAACAGCTTGATAAGAAGTATATTTTATTGCAGCAGAGTAATTTCATCCCTGCCTTTAATAGCCTACCACTGAAGCTTCAAAGTCATGCCATGCAATAGCAAATTCAATCTTAACTAACGTATTAATTATGTGTCTGGACTTTTTGTTTGTTTGTTTGTTTGTTTGTTTGTTTGGGTTTTTTTGGTGCTTTACTGTGAAGATGGCATGATCTCCCTTTCTTTGGAAAAAAGGTCCAATGTATCCTCTGCTAAAGAAAATAATCAAGGAAACGCTGAAGTGCCTTCCCTTAGTATTTAGAGAATTCAGAGAATTCATTATTATGGCTGGGAGACAGATACTTGAGGGGCAGTTCAGTGAAAAACCTTTGTAAGGAAAGGTGGTTGTTTGACTGAAGTCAAGGACTTATCCAGGTTACAGACTGAATATACAATCTTCTATCAATATATAACACACTTGAACTGATTAATGAGCTAATAAAAACATGGAAAATATGGGGGAAGGTTACATTTTGTGCATGGAAAACCATTGAGACCTTTATTTTCAGCTTTTCTATACAGGCCCTGTTACAAATTGTTCCCTCTGTGTGTGTTTCCCTCAGGTATCCGTTACAGTACAGATGTGTCTGTGGACGAGGTGAAAGCCCTGGCCTCTCTGATGACCTACAAATGTGCTGTTGTTGGTAAGCATTAAAGTCTTAGCCTTCCACAAAGTCTACAGAAGGTCATCCCTGAACTCTGCACACATATTAATACTGTACAGGAGGTTGGTACTTATGTGGAAATGCCAAAAAATAGTTTTCTTTTTTTCCTGCTTCTATCTTGTATGTCTTCATGTGTATTTGTAAAGTAATGTATGCATTTTCTTGTGGTTGTAAAGCTGTATTATTATCTTCCAGATGTGCCATTTGGGGGAGCCAAAGCTGGAGTCAAGATCAATACTAAGAATTACTCTGTAAGCCTTCTGATTGCAAGCCTATTCTCACATAATTAATAAAACCCTCGTAACAACATAAGAGATCAATCACTCAATAAACTTGAGGTGGTAAAAGAGACAAGCCTTTTTCTTTTTTCTTTTTTTTGTTGTTGTCTTTGATTGCTTAATTATAGGGCACTGTGATTTATTTAAAGGTCATCAACTGTTCATCTAAGCTTATAGTCAACTGAAGAGAAAACCCTCACAAAGCCTCACAGATGCCTTACACATCTTTCTTAACATCTGATAGGAATTTGTTTATATGAACTGTTTAGTTTTCTGGAAGTAATGTAACCACACTTTGTTGCAGGACAATGAGTTGGAGAAGATTACCAGGAGATTCACGATTGAGCTGGCCAAGAAGGGCTTCATTGGTGAGTTTCTAGTGTGTGGTTGGTTGTTTTAACTGTTTAATGGGCTTTAGAAGTGAGAGGTAAATACTTGCACCCATGAAGGTAAACATTTCCAGTCTTCTAATGGTGTTTATTCAGGTTGGGGTCCTTTAGAGTGTGTCTGTGTCAAGTAAAAGGGCAGACAACTAATAATGTTTAAGGAAACTCAGTTCTGATATTTATAAAGGTGGAGAAGCCAAAAAATCATAAAAAAATTAGCTAATGCATATTTACAGTATATAGTCAGGACAAGATGCAGGTGCACTGATATTTTTCTTAAGTTAAAGTACATAGGGATAACCTACAGAGTAAAAGTTGGCATTTTAAAAATTGAAACTTGGGTGCTAAAGTATCAAAAGTCACAAAAGTAAAACTAATATATTTCAAAATCCGTCTTATTGATTTTTTTTTTCTAGATTTATACTTTAAATTACTAAGCTTGGCAGTAGGTGGCAAAGTTGAGGCTAATTTTTGGGCTCATAAACTTCACATACTGCTGGGTATATTGCCAGGTATACTTTAATAGTAAATCATAACTTTGGTTATGTATTATTAATCAGAATCTCCAAAGTAACTAATTTAGTTTGGAAGTACAAATTGACATAAAATGTTCTGCTTAATTACAGTATATGGGTAAGAATACTGGGTTAGTTTCTTGAGGGTACATAATTGTTCTTGTTTGGCACAGGTCGTTCCAGTTTAGCTGATGGACAACTTTTTGACAAAATCAGCCTTTTAAGATCACATTAAAGAACCTAAGATTATTATTTTTTTTTTTTGTAAAGGTCAAAACAAGGGAACAAGTATGCATATTTGTCACTACTTGGTCATTTGGCAGAATATATATATTTTTTTTAACTCAACCTCACAGAGAATAAAATGGTAATTTCATTTACTTTCTCCAGGAAGCTAGCATAGATGTGTTTAGTATGTTGAGCAAAGTCACAGAAAACTTGTTCACTGGTTCCATGGGTTAATGGGCCCTTATACCACCTGTTTATTCACCCTTACCTGGATGCATTTAAAATGTTCATAATGTGTTTACTTTACTACTGAGACGCTGTCTGTAGACAACAATAGTTGCTGCTTGTGGAGCTTGGAGGTAAAAAGGTACCCACCATCTGCCTACAGCACTTGTCTGTCTATCTGTCAGTGGACAGATTCAGTTATTTTCTGTCTGCATGCTTGCTGCTGTTTTCACATCTTGAGGCCCTTTGAGGCACATGGTTATGTCACACAAGGACATGAAGCCTGGTGCTCAGTTTGTGATATTGTACTCTTTTTCTTTTTTCTTTTTTAAACTCTCTTCCCCTCTCTCTCTCTCCCTTTCCTTTCCTTCCTGTCTTTGCTCAACAGGACCTGGCATCGATGTCCCTGCTCCTGACATGAGCACAGGCGAGAGGGAAATGTCCTGGATTGCCGACACGTATGCGAACACTATTGCACATACTGTAAGTTCTCAGACTTAATGGATATATTATTTTGTAGACGGCATAGCCAGTCTGTCTGACTTGGCTGCAGTTTTGGCACAAATTTTAAAATGGGCTAAGTTAAAAAAACAAGGAGTGAGTCATACATAAACCATGAACAGTGGTTTCCTGCATCGCCCTTTCCAGCTGACCACAGAAGCATTCCTCATGTCTTAAAAGGGTCTTTTCAGACTGAGGCCTCTGTTCGTGTTATCAGCTAATCATTGTGCTATCTCAGTCTGTCAAACAAGGCTTATTTGATTAAACATGGAAAATGTTTACCCATGTTTATTGTTTCACATGCAATCATGTGTTGTTTACAACTGGTTTGATCTAAAAACTATAATTGTCAGAGAACTCTGTTGACTGATATTTTACTTATTAGCAGCAAGAAAAGACCATAATATTACTCATATCTTTTACCCTCTCTCTGCTTACAACACCTTATTGTTTCAAAGTTAAAAAATATAATCCCTTTCAAATTATTAACAGTGTTGATTGCATAATCCTGAGGGCTGTACTGCCAAGGAGGTTCAACACAGTCAGGCTCTCTGCGCATTAGCTGGATCGAAAATCCCCCCACAGATGACAGACAAGTTAATAACTGCTGTTATTAGTTAATGACATAAGCTGGGCTTCTCACTTTTGTGCATGCTCACATGAAAAGGAGCATTTCACACATTATATGCCTTTTCATGAATGCCACTTATTACAAGTAAGTAGAACGAACTTTGATAATTGAGAAGGCATTCTTGGTGATGGCCTGATCGATTTTTCTAATCTGTGTCAAGAATAGCTGAAATATTTCAGCTGTGGAAGGGAGACTTGGCAGCAGTGAGATACAACTCGCACATATACAATGTATTCCTCCAACAATTATTGCACTGGAAAAATTGTTTTAAATAAAAGAATTCGAAAAAAAACATGGTGCTTTCAGCCGAAAGTTTGAGCGCAGCCTGCTGCAGACCAGGTTATGTGCTGCACATGAGTCACCATAGGGATTTGCCAAGTTAAAAAAAAACAAACAAAACACTTTTATGACACAGAAAACTGACATTTCTTGCTATCCCATTAATCTTGCTTAATAGTACACATCTCAGTCTATTTTTTTTTTTTAATAAGATTTATTTTCATTTTTAAATCGACAAACAAACAAAGCGAACAAATAAACAAAAAGCTCACAACTATGGCACACAGCAAGCATCTACAACTAACCACAACATGGCAGGCCATTTTGACCACAGGAACACTCCTAGGTGCACACTCTTGTATCCATGCCTTTCAAGGATAACCTCAGACATCCAAAAAGCAAACACAAAAGTAATATCTCGGTCTATTCTTGACATTTATTTTTTCCTATTAATACTTGGTTGGTAAGAGACAAGCAACATTGATGAACACAGTGGTGTTCCAGAAACACTGAGAACTTAAGGATTTAAACCATGTAACAGACATATTTCTACTTTAAATTATTGTTGTTGTTGTTGTTGTTATTATTAAACTCTTAAAACAGTTTGTGTCATTGAGATCAGGATCTGAGAGAAGTGCAAAAAACATGAAACAATATAGCCAGGTACATAATACAGATGCACGCTATGCATGTTCATAAATTAAGAAAGGATGTGCAAGAATGAATGCTGATAATTAAATGTAATCAGTGTTTAGTTTATAAACAAATAGATCCAGTTCACACTGGGAGATTCCCTACAAAGGTTGTAATGCCAGCGTTACCAAATTGGCCTGCTGGTTGTGTTGTAGTCATTTTTTTTGGCTCACATTCATGAGATGGGTGCTATGTTCCAGTTAAGGTCAATATCCAGCCGTCACCACTTCTGGCTCATTCATGTGTGAATATCAATGATTTAAAAACTGTGTTGGTCCTGTTCCACTCTTCTCTCTGGTCTCCTCTTGCCTCACACAGTCATGTGACTTCTGCTCCAGATACCCCCATGGAGTAGGTCACAAATTCCTACTCTGGGTATCTGAGGGAAGAGGAGCTTGGGTAGTACGTGTAGTACGTGTCATGGTACCTGGGCCACACATGACATTTTATGACATGGTCACTGGAGACTGGCTCTGGCTTGGCAAAACATTTGGCCTACTGGATGGCTTTGTCTGAACTTTGCAGTGAAAAAATTACTCATGCATGGTTGCTCATTTTTGGTGGTGCCAGCTTTAAAGAGTTTGTCTAAATTTGTGGAATTATATAGTTGAATCTAGGCAAGTGTTTTGAATCATAAACATTTAAAATATTGTTAGTTTTTTTTTTTTTTTTTTTAAATACTACAAGGTGTTTTTTGTTAAGCATAAATTATTGCAAATTCTTGTAATGGTCTAGCCTACCTACTGATTAAATAAGGTTGTATGTGGCACATACCAGATACCTGATTCATTAAAAAAAATCTTGGTTTCTTTGGTTTACATTATTCATTATAAGGCTGGAAGTTTTTGTGTTTGTCGGTTTCTCTTCCAACACTGCCCAACTGAGGTTTCAATAATCTGTGTGCAAAGATGCTGTGTATATAGTAGTGTTTTAAGCTGTGGTCTGATTTCTTTTTTCTTTTTTTTCTCCTTACAGGACATCAACGCACATGCATGTGTGACAGGAAAACCCATCAGTCAAGGAGGAATCCACGGGCGTATCTCAGCCACTGGTCGTGGAGTTTTCCATGGCATTGAGAACTTCATTAATGAGGCTTCTTACATGAGCATGCTGGGCCTCACTCCTGGCTTCCAGGACAAGACCTTTGTTATCCAGGTACACAGATGCATGTACACTTTGATAAGAGAAACAAAGAAGAATGATTTCAGTGATGCAGACTCTTGTGCGGCTGTTTTCTCCCTGATAGTCACAGGACTTAAGTTTTCATTTGAAGTCGTGATGAGGGGTTTTAAAGCTGTGCCTCAATCAGAGCCATGCCATCTGTTTTTGCCTGATCTCCTCATACCGCACAGGCAGCAGCGAGCTCAAGTTTTCCCTTCTTTGTTTATGGAAAAGGATGATTCATCGAGAGGAACCAGTTAAAGAAACTGGGCTGCTCTGCTGCTCAAGTTCCAGCTGGTTTTGTGAAAAACAGTTTGAGTTTAAACTAATATGTTTTAGAATCAGGCATGAAAACTCATCAATGAAATGCAGTATTGGAATCATTTGCAGTGTTGATTAAAAGGAACTTGTCTTTTCTTTAAAGCTGTGCTGATTTTAACTGTAACCATGTGAAAGCAGAAGTGTGCCTGCAGAGATAAAAAGTCAAAGAGCAGCATTTTGCTTAGCAGTTTCATTTCCAGTAGTCACATGGCAGCTCCTCACGTGTCACTGACGCAAACTAAGCAGGAAAGCCCTCGGCAGTGGTGTCTGCTGTTTTCTTGGAATACTTTCTGTAATTTCCCCTCTTCATGACAGCAGTGCAGTCTGATATTCTTGATCAATAGCTCTGTGTGTTTACATCCATTTCATTTAGTTAACCATCTCCGTGAAGTTAGCTGCAAGACTTGCAGATTTCAGTTTTTTTGTTTTTTTTTTGAGGATCTTCTTGTATTTGCTTGAGATTATGTTTGAAGTTTAATGTCCTGGCTTCACTGAGATTTGTAAAGTGGCAGATAGTTCAGATTCAGTGACTGTAAAGAAACAAAGATTTTGAAGGATGATGATTACTGCTGAGTGGGTTTAAAGTGAGGGATGATAGGGTGAGGAGGTGAAGAAGCTGTGACGACAGCTGATTCATGATGTGGATGTTCAAAAAGCTAATCCGTGTCTGTGTTTGGGGATTACTCTGTGCTGCGCTGAGATTACATTTTCTTAGAGATTTATTAGTGAGAAAGGACAGAGCAGATCTTTAATGTGGTATTAAGATGAAAGCAGGGGTATATATTTACTCGCTTTTTCTTTTCTTTTCTTTTCTTTTCTTTCCTTTCCTTTTTTTTTTTTTTTATATATATAAATCATTTGTAAAGTTGTCTCTCTTCTTGTCTTTATCCAACAGCTCTGTTAGTGGCCAAAAGGCGATATCAGCAACGATATTAGTGATATTAACTTTGTTGTTGCTTTAAAACTATGAGACTTGTGCTTTGGGGTGTATCTATAACTTATATACACAATGTCATCTTCTTTCTACATCCCAATTTCTGGAGTTGGATATACAGAATCTTGGTTATTAGTGTTTAATTATCTTTCTTTTCCTTGCTGCATCTGGTTTTGGTAATATATATTCACATTTTTGTTCTGTTTTGTAGTGTGTGCAGATGAATGCATAGAGAAATTTCAAATCTCATATATACTGTACTGCTGTCACCCATCCATAGTCAAATGAAATAATGATTTGATGATTTTTTTTTTCTTCTTAACCTCATCTGGCCACATGGTGGCAGCAGAGTATGTAACTTATAAAAATGAACATCATTTTGTTTGTTGATTGAGAAGGGGAATAATTATTTGTAACTATGTGCTGTGACTTTCACAGGGCTTTGGTAATGTGGGTCTCCACTCAATGAGGTACCTGCACAGGTTTGGGGCCAAGTGTGTGGGCATTGGAGAGATTGATGGAGCCATCTACAACCCAGATGGTATCGACCCCAAACAGCTGGAGGATTATAAACTGGTATCAGCACTGCTGTCTTCCCCTCATTTCTGTCGTTTCTTAATTATTATTATTTTTTTAAATTGTACTTATTCATTCTCCACTGAAACATCCATCTCTACAGCAACATGGCACCATCGTGGGTTTCCCAGGAGCCAAACCCTATGAGGGGAACATTTTGGAAGCGGACTGCCACATCCTGATTCCTGCAGCTGGAGAAAAGCAGCTCACACGTAACAATGCTCCGAAGATCAAGGCCAAGGTAAACTCTTTGTCTGATTACAAAAGCTGCTGTGATTTTTTTTAAACTGTCAGTTTGATTAAAATGATTAAGGTTGAGCAGTTCAGGTAGTGGTTAAGTATATGTGCTTATTTTTGTTAGATCATTGCTGAGGGTGCCAATGGTCCCACCACCCCAGGTGCTGATAAAATCTTCCTGGAAAACAACGTCATGGTTATTCCTGTAAGCACACACACCACCAAACACACAGGGAAATACAAGCTAGTTTTATGGTTTGTTTAAAGTGAATTATTTTTTGTGTGTTTTGATTCCCTGAATGACAATACATGTGCACACATTGCACATTCATACACATTCAGACTTAATTAAGCTGAACTGTAGAATAGATTTAGGCATGACAGGTTAAACAAGGTTTTGTTCACAGAATAAAAGTATCGATTTCATTTTATTTTCATGCTGATCTTTTCATTTCATTTTTTTTTTAACAGTAACAAGAAATAAACAGTCTAAAAGCAAAAATAAACAGGAAAATCTGCTCTGCTCATTCAGCAGTTCACATTCTCAAAAAACATTTTTCTAGAAAAAAGGGGCAAAGCACAGCAAATGAAATCTTCAAATTTATACAAAAGGCCAAATCTAGATTAGTATAGCATATTATTTTATTATTTAAACATATTCTTGTAATTATGTTTTTGTCTGAGATTTGAATTGGTTAGGACTTGGTTAATAAGACATGAAGTCCCATCCTTCTGAGCTCAAAGCACAAGAAACAAAGCGGAACCAATAACAGTTTATTGGGTGACTTTCTTGTGTTTCCAGCATCTATCCATCAAATACGGTTAATCAAAGCACACTCGTACAGTTTCGATAAAGCACATTAATTTGCTGAGGGTTAAACTCTTTGTAAATTAAAATATTTTCCTCATGTTCAAATGGACTGGGACTGAAAACATGCATTTGTAAATATAAATTCTAACTAGAAATATGATGGAATGTATTACTAAGTGTTGTTTCTAGTACTTGCTTTAAAATACAATTTCGATATGTGCTTGTTAAATAATTTCTCCTTTAGCATATATAATCAGATTTTTAAAAGTCATATTTTCCACACAGAGGACCTTTTCATCTGTGCACTTATCCATACAGAGAAGTGAAGACTGTTTCTACTTGCAGGACATGTACTTGAATGCTGGCGGTGTGACGGTATCTTATTTCGAGTGGCTCAAGAATCTCAACCATGTCAGCTATGGAAGACTAACCTTCAAATATGAGAGGGACTCAAACTACCACCTCCTCAGTGAGTACAAACCTGAAGTTCATGCTTTTGTCTGGACGCAGATTGTATTTATATTGTCTGACAGCTTTTATTCGTTAGAGACGTGCTGCAAATCGGTATGAAAAATAATGATAAAACACAAACAAACGTAATAAATCACTCGTGCAAGTTCTTTGTGTGTGTGTGTGCGTACGTGTGACCCAAAACCTTTTATTCAGATGGAGAGACAGCATCAGAATTAGATCTCTATAGTTTTTATTCCTTTCTGGAGTAGTAAATAGGTTTTATAGACTGAAAAATTTCTTCAGATGCTTTACAATCATCCTGTGTACCTTTTTTTTAATTTATTTATTTATTTTTTAAAAATCTTGAATCAAAATCTTTCCGCTAGGAAATACAAACACAACACCTTTACATCGTGGTTAAGATGTAGTTTGTCCTCGATTTGATTTCTTGTGGTTCCAGGGTAGGCTGCTTTCCCCCAACAGTAACAACTTACAACATTCTGAGTAACAACGTTCTGACGGCTCTCATAGATAAGCTTCTTTAAAACAAGCAGTATCTTTTGCTGGTGTTGGGCAACAAAAAAAAAGAACAAAAGAAACAGAAAATGAGTGAAACTGTGTAGCCAGCAAGAATTTAGAGAAGAAATGCTTAAATTTCTTACCTTTTTTAAAATCAACTGACTCTGTGTTCACCTATCTTCTGGTGTCGCTCTTTTGCTTTCTTCATGTACTTTCTGATTGGCACTCTCATACAGCCAATTATATGATACACTCAATGAATCAGACACGTTATCACTGCTATTTGTAGTATTTGTGATTAATTTGTATTTTTGTTTTACTGTTTTCTCCTTTAGTGTCTGTTCAGGAAAGTTTAGAGAGGAAGTTTGGCAAGCAGGGAGGACCCATTCCCATCGTACCTACTGCTGACTTCCAGGCCAGGGTTGCTGTAAGTAACAGCTGCTGTCATACACATGCATTTTTTGTTTAAATGTTGTAAAAGTACCACACGTATCAGTGTGATTAATTTCCTTCCATATGAAACTGATTCTAATCAATAAATACGATCAGGCCAGCTAATGTTTATTCTTTGTCAACTGATTAATAATCCAAGAACTATTTTACTATTGTGTCCCGCTCAGCCTGATGTGGGGTTAACACATAATCGTCCTTTACAGGGTGCCTCAGAGAAGGACATTGTTCACTCTGGATTGGCCTACACTATGGAGAGATCTGCTCGGGTAAGTGATCATGCAGGAAAGGTCAGAGGTGTGGTTCTCAAACATTTTTTATTGCTTCTTATCACTGTAATTGCACCTTGAAAAACTGGTTCAGGTAGACAAAATATCAGGCACAATGCTTCCACTTGTAAGCAGGCGCATCCTGTTAGGTGTCATTAAGTCCTGTTTAACAACACACACAACATAATTATGGTTTGCTTGTTTTATGGTCAATTGGACATCAGTGCTTAAACCACAGCTCTCACATTTCCTGCTTTCTGAAATGGAGCTCCAGGATGGGGTGGTGGTGCAGCAGTTTGTGTGTCGATTCACAGAAGAAATGTTGGGGGTTCAAACGAGGAGCTTTCTGTCTGTGTGGATTTTTTGTTCTCGTTGTGGCTCTGAGTTTTCTCCGTCTGCTTTATTTTCTTCCCACAGTCCAAAGAGTATGCAAAGGGGATTAAGTGGTGGTCTTTTTTTTATTTTTATTTTATTTTATTTTTTTTAAATGGGCTGTAGGTATGTGAGACGGAAAGCATGCACTAAACAAAGTGATGGAGAGGCAGGTGTAAATGTGGTTATGGTGCTCCAGTCCATGTTTCATAACCAGTGAGATGACACTTTTATTTATTTTACAGTCATCTCAGAGAACTTTATACTGTGAGGTAACAATGTTAGGAAGGAAAGTGCCGACGTTCAGATGATCCTCCAGGAACAAAATTTTATAACAGTATGTGCTAAACGTTGATATTCGTTCTGTTTTATTAGACTTTGATGGGATAAAGTCTAAACTCATTTGCTTTGTAGTCCTTTCTATGAAGGTACTAGTTTGAACACTGTATAAACTCTTTTCTATATTTCCTTCAACTTACTCTAGCCTGTTCTGACTCCTGCGGTGACAGAATCTTAAGGAACTATTATATGCAGTCTATCGACCTGGTCTCTGTTATTAGTTCAACTTTTACAGCTGTTACTGTCAAGGCTAAACTGTTGGAACTGCTGTTACCCATCTAGCATAAACTCACTGAAAAGACTTTGAACACTCCTTTGCTGAATGTGTAAACACAGTAGATTTAGTTTTTCTCAACCAAATATATGCCAGCCAGTTCCTGTTTTTAAAAAAGCAAAAAAAAAACATAAAAATAAAACAACAGCTTGCTATGATGTGGACATCTGATAAATGTTAACCTTTGAGATAAATCTAACCCGGTTTCAACCCTGATGTGGACCCATTTAGACCCCTAAGCAAGAGATGCAGTCTCTTGATGGAGGAGATGGGAAGGGACTGAGAAAAGAAGAGGATAGTTAAAGTTTTTATATTGTCCTGAAAGACGTCCTTTTACTTTTCACTATTTAAACGTTAAATGTCTGACTGACCAGGTTAAACCAGGAAACTGCATCCATTGAAATGTTGAACTTGGTGGTGTAGCATGTATAACCTGTGTCATCATCTTCTTTTGTAGCAAATCATGCGCACAGCGAGCAAGTACAACCTCGGTCTGGACCTTCGGACAGCTGCCTATGTGAACGCCATCGAGAAGGTCTTCAAGGTCTACAACGAGGCTGGGCTCACTTTCACATAAATGGCTGACCATGGTCCACACTAGTCTCCCTTCCTCCACCCTTCTGCTGTTGAATCCCCTCTCCTGCCTTTCTCCACCTCTAAAACAGCCTTCAGAACATATCACTGTTTACCGCTGCTCCTTGGCTCCTTTCACACACACATGCAGCGACACAGTGGCTTGCCTCGTAGTTATTTCATGATCTTTGTGCTGCCATTATATCTCTGCAACTCTTTTTAAATATTGTCCTGTTCTTGTTTTTTGCCTGAGGTTACAGACAGAGAATCCCCCAGCCGTCATACAAGTGTTTATAATTCAGCTGTATGGCAGCCACGTTCTTAGCTCTGTGTTTGTGATCGCTGAATGCATGTGTGACCCTCCTGTTGCAGTTGTTTCAGTTGATAGCACTACAGATGCCTTATTTTTAGGAGGAGGTCTGCTCTAAAAGGGACACGGCCACTTCAGTCTAATGTTAACTCAAACAGATTTAGATTTAACTTCATGTGAATAAGAGAAAAAAGTAATTTTATTACCCTTGAGTATGTCTTGTCACTCTTAAGGTGTAAAAAGTTAGTGATGGTTTTGCCAAGTTTTAGAATTCACAACAGAGATTCAGTGTTCTTCATAGTTGTGTTTTCATGTTCCCGTTCCCCTTTATTTTCCTCCCTTTCCTATTGTTTCATCGTAAATGCAGCTTCTTCCCGACTCTTCCACTGGCCAAGAGAGAAGAGCAGGGATTGGCCAATGTCACTGTGATCGGCCAATCCCTGCCTGAGTATTCTTCAGTTTAACCGTCCAGTTTCAGTACTGCAGCATTTTTGGAGAAAATTTTTATTTTTACTGTACTCATTTTTTTTTTTTTTTTGGGAAATCATAAAAATGTTCAGATACAGAAATGTGTTATCAGTGTTTATTTTCTGGTGAGCTCATCCTGTAACATCTGGTGTTTTTCCTGCAACTTTATTGTTGTTAATAAGACCTGAAGGAGGTATCAGCAGTATTACTGGGGAAAAAAACAGGCTTGAGGAAAGTTATTTAAAAATTTCCTATTAAATAATTTTTTCTTTGGAATTGGTTTTTTAAAGAGTTGGTAAGTAGACTAATACTTATATAGCACTTTCTATGTTTGAACGCTCATGGTGCTTTATAGTACAAGCCTTATTCACGAACAGTCGATTTTTTTAAAATCGTTTTTAATAATTCATAGACATTCCATCGGATCTGTTGGGAGGAACTAAGCCTTCAGTATCTTGGCCAGGGATTGAACCACCAACCTCTCAGTTACATGACAACTTGCTCCACAGCCACCCTGTTGGGTTAATAATAATTAAATGAATGGTATATGTCCATCCCTGTTATAATTACTCCCTGAAGTCCCTGCTCTTGATTTAAAAAATAAATAAAAATTCCTAGTGTCATCATATTATATATCTATATATGTTAAACTTATATATATATAATATTAAACTTGAATGTTGTTAATTTAGTTACAGCCTACATGAAGCTACCTTTTATACGTACACTACCAGTCAAAAGTTTGGACCTTCTCATCTAATGTCTTTTTATTTATTACTACTTTCTACATTGTGGATTCATACTGAAGCCATCAAATATATGAAGCAAGACGTATGGAATTATGTAGCAAACCCACTTTGAGATCCCTCAAAGCCACCATTTGGTCTTCTCTCAGTGTGCTTCGTGTAGTCTCCTGAAATGGTTTTCACTTCACAGATGTGCCTTGTCAGGGTTCAGTTGTGGAATTTCTTGCCTTCTTAATGGGATTGGGACCATTAGTTGTGTTGTGTAGAAGTCAGGTTGGTACACAGCTGATAACTGTTAAAATTCATATGACAAGAACCAGAGTCCATTATTACTTTAAAAACTGAAGGTCAGTTAGTCTGGAAAATTGCAAAAACTTTGAACTGTGGGAATTGCCTTTTATGGTCAAATAGCTGCTAAGAAACCATTACTAAGGACAAGTAAAAAGCAGGTGAGACCAAGAAACACAATGAATGGACATTAGATCAGTGGAAATCTTTGGTCTGATAAGTCCAAATTTGAGGTCTTTGGTTCCACCTGCTGTGTCTTTGTGCAATGCAGAAATGATGAACAAATGGTCTCTACATGCCTAGTTCACACTGTGAAGCATGGAGGAGGAGGTGTTATGGTGTGTTGGAAGACACACTGAACAAGCATGGCTACCACAGCATCTTGCAGCAACATGCCATCTAGTTTGCATTTAGTTGGACCATCATTTATTTTTCAACAGGACAATGACCCCAAACACACCTGCAGGCTGTGCAAGGGCTATTTGACCAAGAAAGAAAGTGATGGAGTGCTGTGCCAGATAGCCTGGCCTCCACAATCACCTAACCTAAACCCAGTCTAGATGTTTTGGGATGAGAAGGGAAAACAAGGTGAAGGCAAAAGGACCAACAAGTGCTCTGCATCTCTGGGAACTCCATCAAGACTGTTGGAAAACCATTTCAGGTGAATACCTCATTAAATTCATCGAGAGAATTCCACGAGTGTGCAAAACAAGGGTGGCAATTTCGAACAATCTAAAATATAAAACATGTTTTGAATTATTTCACACTTTTTATGTTTACTACATAATTCAGTGTGTTCACTCGTATTTTGATGCTTTCAGTGAGAATAAACAATGTAAATAGTCGTGAAAATAAAGAAAAACCATTAGATAATATGTGTGATGATGTTTCTGAACACTCAGTGTCACGGGAGCCTAATGTAAGAACTACGACCCAAAAGCCGATTCAAGCACAGGGGAAAGTGATGAGATTTCAACTAGATTTATTTGCTTAAACACAGGAATTAATGGCAACACAAAGGCGGGATTCCTGGCGTAAAGGTGAACTAGACAAAACTGTGGGAGGAAGGAGGTTAGAGATGATGCAGGGGACGCTAGACTGGTCTTGGTGTGTGGAGTGTAAACTGCTCTGGGGGAGGTGAACGCCCAGCTGAGCTCCTAGAGTGGTGAGTGAGTAGGTTGAGGTGATGAATGATGCAACCATGAGCAGTGAAGTGTGCGTGATAAACGGGGACATTGCCATGGAGACCAGGGTCCAGGAGCAACCAGAAGCACAGAGTAGATCAAGTAAACACGAGATTTTAACGAGCATGAAACAAGGAGAACTGTTATCAATGCGAGGTTACCTGATGAAATGACAAAGGAGAGAAGATGATGCTTACCTAAAATATGTCTCCTGATTGCTTGGGGATCAAGAATAGGTGAACTGAGCAGGTGGCATGATGAGAGCTCTATCCCAGGACTGATATGAGATGAACACAGGGTGGGCAAAAACACTAGACTTCACCCGGACCATGACCAGTGTTTGGCAAGTTAGTTTGAAAAAGTAATTAATTATAGTTACTAGTTACTTCTTCAAAAAAGTAACTGAGTTAGTAACTGAGTTACAGGATTCTAAAAGTAATTAATTACTTGAAAAGTAACTTTAAATGCAAATATAAATGGCCAATTTTAAAATCATATGCACAAGTTTTGCAAACAACAAAGTTATTTGCAGCCATTTACCTTTTACCCCTTTTTCAATAAGATGCCACACAAATTTTTTGTGCCACTCCAAAAATTTCTGTCCACTTTAAAGGAGAACATCACAGCCTGATACCTGCAGGTCTGACAGCAGCAGGTGTATCACTCCTGTTTCTACCTGGAGACAGCAGTCGCCTCATTGTTCTGACACACAACACAAAACTATCCACAACACTACACACTAACTACACAAGACAACACATTAACTACACACTCCAAACACACTAAACGTCACAAATCTCTCACATCTCAAAACTCGCTCTCTCTCTTTTTCTGCTGTCTTTCTCTCACTCTCTCACCGTCACTCCTAAAACTTCCCCTCTTCCTAAACATCCAAATGCAATGTTGCCATATCATTTTTTGATTGGTTGACATTTACATTTTACATGTACATTTTCCACCAACATGAAAGGGCTGTTTTTTGCTTTGTTTTTAAATTTTTTGGTCATAAGCAGAGAGTGCTTGCTAGCACTGTCCTTAGACAGTGAACGTGACGAAACGTTTGAGGAAAAAACGCCGCATATATATTGTTTATCATGACTCTGGTTTTACGTGGCCTATCAACACAATTTAAAAACTGGTATATATCACCTTGTTGCTTTGTCATCTTAAAGTGGTAATGTGGTTGACTTACCACAAATACTTTATTCTTCCTCAGTCAAACAGCAGCACTCATGCGATTGTTTTGCCCCTCTAGCTCCAGGTGTAGCGGCCAGATTACTTACGTAGACAGCTACTTCCTTGCAACTGATATAAGATGCGGTAAGCTGAACCAGGGGCGATTCTAGGATCAGAGCTTTGGGGGTGCTGAGCACCCAGAGAGCTGCCCATCCAGGCAAGGTAAACTTTACTCGTCACAATGAGACTTCTTCCCTGTCTCTGTCAGTCCCTGCATCCTTAAATGTCTCCAGTTGTCCCGAGTTCCCTCTGTTCCTCCCTGTCCTCATAATCTGTTGTCTTCATCTCCATTATCAGTCATTATAATTTTACCATCTCTGTGCAAGTCTGCAAATTTCTTTATTAAATCTTAAGATTCTTAAATTCATCAAGTCTCTCTGTGCCTGGGTCTTTGTCACAAAACATGACATCACTGTTTTGTACATTTTAACACAATTTAATCCCCACATTTGTGAAAGAAAAGCAAAACACTTTTTTGAAAAGTCTGTAACAAAACCATCTAATCTGATAAAGGTTATTTAAATGCTGCTAAAGACTACTACTGCCAAAGAAGAATGGATTGGAATTTAAAAAAATAAATATCCTAACCTTAATTACTGTGGGAGAATAATGAATGATGCTCATAGTGAGTAAAAAGTAAACTCAGTGCATTTTTTGGACAGAGATTCACTTTTAATGTGTATGGATAATATAATATATATATACATAAAAAATACACTCCAAAAATAGAAGAGTCCTTGAAATGTACAAAATATTATTAAAAAATTGAGACACCTTGGCCTCTGGTACAATGTATGAAAAAATCTTTACTGCAGATACTTCTATGGCTCTGCAGATTTTTTCTTTTCTTTTAACCTCACCTTGAGGTTGGCAAATCTATCTATCACATTTTGGTGGTCAAGTCTCTCAAGCATCTCTTTCTCAACTGACATCACAGCCAGGTGCTGGAGTCTGCTTTGACCCATGGTCCTTCTCAGCCAGGTATGGAGCTGATGAAAGACACTAAAAGACCTTTCACAGCTACAGCTGCTAACTGGGTTTGTTAGGTCAACCTGAATAACATTTTCACAGTGTGGGGAAGATCTGATTATCCAGAAGATTGTACAATGTTAACATATCGTTAGCTTCATAGCATAAGTGCCTAAGTCATTTTTTGGTCAAATTGAAAATATCAATTAAAAATATGCATGTGATATTTAGAAAATTAGTTTTGTCTTGTTTTCCGAAAACACAAAAAAATGACTTAGGCACTTATGCTATGAAGCTAACGATATCTGAAATGGCACCAGCCTCACTCTTGAGCTTCAAAAAGTCTTTGGCAATCATGACTTCCTCTGACTGAAGTTCAGCATGGTGATGCAGTGCCAGGGCTGACAACCCAGTTTGTTTTGCAGATTCTGTATAGCAGCTTTAATATAGGGAGAACACAACTTCCAGATTGTATGAGTAAAATTAGTTGTTTTTGTTGTTTTTTTTTCTTTGCCAGTTTAACAGTTTGTGTTGTGCCTGTTAGTACTCCCTGTCTGTTTTCTTACCTGGTTCTTCCTGAACTTGTACTTTCCCCTCTTTCCTCTCTCCCTCTTTGGACTGACAATCATACACAAATAGATTGTATTCAATTAGATTAAAAAAAAGTACTATTAAGAGCACTAATAAAAAGTCCTCTTCCAGTGTACTTTCAACCAAAAGGCAAATAACCAAACCACATGCACATCTAATAAAGGATATAAATATTGAAACACTGATCCAACATTATCCTTTATTGACGGATCATTTGATCTTACACTTTTACCTGAATGTGGCTCCTAGATAGAAATAGTAATTGGATTACTCGTTACTGAAAAAAGTAACCCCGTTACTTGTAACGCCGTTATTCCCATCACTGACCATGACACTCAGGTTGGTACTTACATAGCACCTTTTTAGTCAGTTGAGCATTCAAAACACTTTCATGCTACAAGATTCAATCACTCAGTCACATACATGCATTCAGAGATTTTTTTTCTGAGTGTTCATCAAACAATTTCACAAAATAATTTCTTAGTGTTAAAGTCATGAATAATCAAATTTTATTGATTTCTTTCAGTACATAAGACCTTTTATCTCCGTGGTTACACACACACATATATATATAATGTTTCCTCTTGCAGGACTGTTGAATGCTGGTGATGTGACATTATCTTAATTTGAGCAGCTAAAGACTCTAAATCTCAGTAACTGTGAAAAACTGATGTTCTGAAAGACAGTGTGCTGCAGTCCTGCTAGAATCAAGACACCATAAATTTTATGTTTGTAATCATAACATATTTACTTTTCCTGACACCAGTCTAAAACATATGTATGTAATGAGTAACAGAATTTAAAAAGAATAAAGAAGTATTGCAAATCAGAATAAAATATCCAGTATAATCACTTATTAAGAGTTCAAATACCCATATTGATTTCTCCCCATCTAATGTACCTAAATAACAGAAAACTGAGGCTCTGTCTTTCCCTGCTTTTTTAAATTTTATTTAGACTGTTTTTGTTTGTCCTGTTTCAGAATCAGGTTCTTCAACTTTCAATTGCTCCTATGTTTTCCACACCTGTTCTTATCTTCTCCTATTTGCGCTTTGTTTAATTGTGTCAAACCTGTTCTCAAATGCATCAAGGATTTCTTCTTTACCTTGAATCAAAATCTTTCCACTGTCAAATATAGACACAGTGCCTCCATCACAGAGCTTAAGTTTGAGTTTCTTGTTTATTTCCATTCGAATAGCGTTGGATTGAGGGTAAGCTTCTTCTATTGCAGCCCTGTAGTGTGCTCCAGATTTGGTGTAGAAAATGAGGTTGCATCTTATGCCAGTTTGTTTTCTGTCTTCATAGAGAACCTCTGGGTTTCCCATCAGAGTTTCTTCTCTGAATCCATTCCTTACCTCACCCTCCATTACTTCAGGGTAGTCAAAACGACGAGCTTGCATCTATGAAACATAGAATTATTATTATTATACGCAATTTAATGTTCCACTGATAAACTACATAACAAATTCAGCACTTATAAATGTGATGTGGTGATATACATTTACCTTCAATGTTTCTTGTTTGTCATAAATCGAGATGTACTCAACTTCCAGGTGAAAAGGTGTATTTTCCTTACACAGCACTTGCAGTAGTCGGTTCAGACTCCGAGTTCCTGTAAGTCTAAAATTTATTGATTCTGTTCTTAAGCTGAGAAGAAAGAAGCTTTTAATAAATGATGTTTTTGCTATTAAGACCTTCTTAAATACATCTAATCTCATAGACAAGTTTCTATTTTGCCCTTTAATCCTTGAACAACAATAAATAAAGACAATTGTTTCCGCTGCTCTCCTAAGGTGTGGTGGCTGTACTCTGCGTATAAAATGTCCGTCTTCTTTTCAGATTTTTTTTTTACATATCTCAAAAAGCAATAGAAAAAGTCAGGAATGTGGTTTCCACACAGGGGTACACCGTGATGCCGGTAAAGCAGTTTCAGAGTCTCCAGAGTCTCTGGGTTGTTGTTTGTCAGTATGCCACCACAGCATCTTTTACTTACACTTCAAAAATCTGCATTTGAAGAATTTGCCTGTGTTAATTCAGGATCTGGAATTTGCACAGGCAAATGTGGAAAGTGTGTGTGTTTGTGTGTGTGAATTTGCCTGTGCAAATTCGGGATCTAGAATTTGCACAGGGAAGTGAAAGATGTTATGATGGTGCAGTGGTCATAATGGTCACTTCACAGCAAACCTGGGGGCTTTCTGTCTGTTTGTTCTCCCTGTTTTCGCGTTTTTCTCTTTACAGTGTGCTTTAATGTGCGCTTATCAAATAATTTCACAAAATAATTTATTTTATCACAATCATAATATATTATTTATTATTTCACAGAAATATCATGGAAACCCTTTGAATACCAGAAGAAACCAAACAACTACCAGCATGTACACAAATTTGAGCTGTAAAGTACAGAATTGACGCTTATAACATAGCAAACAAACACAAAGTGGTTATTCTTTATCACTTCATCTTATGTTTTAAAATATTTAATCTTTTGAACTTATAAAGAAAGAAAAGCTCAACTCTGCTAGAAACCTGCCGTGTCTTTCCTGGCTGAACATGTTGATCCTGGAGTTTTGCTCTTGCCAGTTGTTTGATTGTATTTATTGTTTTTATTTTGTCATTGAACCATTCTGTAAACTGTTTTTTCCCCCTGATCATTGCCATACACATCACCAGTTCTCCATTATGATGCAATACAGTTTTGCCTTTACTGGTTGTATGATTTCGGTAGCAGTGACTTGTGTAGTCTCTGGCTTAAGATCTTCTGTTATTCACTGCATTAATCTTTTTTGATGATTCGTTTGTAACTGCAATTTGTCCTCTTTTCCATTTCTTGTACTGACAATGAGTTTTTCTGGGTTTTTAGAGCATTCTTTACTTTTGGCATCCTTGTTGACCTTCTTCTTTTCTTCTTCTTTGGTTAGTGTCATTGGAGCTAGAGAGATTTCTAGAGAGAAACAAAAAGAAATATATTGCCATGGTACTTCTTTTCAGATTTTTTTTTTTTTACATATCTCAAAAAGCAATAGAAAAAGGCAGGAATGTGGTTTCCACACAGGGGTACACCGTGATGCCGGTAAAGCAGTTTCAGAGTCTCCAGAGTCTCCGGGTTGTTGTTTGTCAGTACGCCACCATAGCATCTTTTACTTACACTTCAAAAATCTGCATTTGAAGAATTTGCCTGTGCTAATTCAGGATCTGGAATTTGCACAGGCAAATGTGGAAAGTGTGTGTGTTTGTGTGTGTGAATTTGCCTGTGCTAATTCAGAATATTATTTAATTATATTCTTTGTATTCATTCAAACTCTTCTGGCGAAGGGTGCTGGACATAGCACCCCCAAACTTAGGAGAACAAGAAAACAACCACAATAAAAACAACAAGCTCGTCATATTCCAAAAAGCGCATCTGAAGAGCATAAACTCATTCACTTTATATACAAGCACCAAATATCTAATTTGTCAGTTTGTAGTTCCAGTAGGCTGTTAGTGGAGTGGATGGTTATCTTCAGTTATTTGATCATTATGCCAGAATCTCTTAAATTCTGGCATAATGATCAAATTTAGGAGAAAGTGTCCTTTCTCACTGTTCCTCTTCCCCTCTGTTTTTCTTTTCCTTCCTCTCTTTCTTTCTCCCTTTCCTATCCCCCAGCCATGTCTGTCACATCTGTAACAACTGCAAATAAAATAAAATAATAACAACAAAGGTCAGTCAAATGGACCAATACGGCAAGGCCGTGATGATCCACTTCGTAAAGTAAATCCGTTGGGTATCTTTGTTGGCCTTCAGACAACAACTTTGATGGCTAAAGAACCAAATGGGACAGGTAAAAAAAAAAAAATGAAAAGAATAACTGCACTTAGTCCCTGTTATTCTGCTATAATTATTGCTGTATCACTGACTGTCAAGACCCTGTCAGTTGCCAATCCCACTTGGATCATTTTATATCCACATAAAAAATCTGCCTGCATTAAAAACACAACAATACAAGCCAATTTTATTACAACATTTAGAACAACAATACAAAATACATTTTTTATGGTTCTGCTCACCCTGCCTGCCCTGCTGACTTTCAACTTCTTGATTCTGATGTACCTATTTGAAACCTGAGAAATAATCAGTAGCTAATGAGTAACAAAAAAAAAAAAAGACGTGTAAGCTACCTGTAATACCTACCTGTAATTATTATTTCACCAGGTTTTAAAAAGTCGTAAGTATTGAGGAGGTAAAATTATTAACAAGATGATGGACCTCTGTTGGAGTAGCGTTCAGGTAGCTGCATTGCTCTATGTTGTTGCAGGGCATTGAAGATGATAACAGTGGGTGGATTATATTCTTAAACTTAGTTACAGCACTTTCAAAAAGACATCTACTGTGATAAAGTCTACTTCCCACTGCTGTGTAATCAATTATTGTAAATTTAAATATTATCAGGAAATGACCAGACAAGAGAGGCTTTTCAGGAAACACTGTTAAATGTTTAGTTTCTATTTGACAGGTAAAAACAAGATCTAGAGTGTGATTCAAGAGGCAGGTGGTGTCACAATACGGCTGTGTGCAGGCAAGAGTAGGACCCAAACGCAAACTCGCAGAGACAAAAAGTAAACTCAAAAAACACAGCTTTATTGCTGGCGTGGAGTGGGACACGAAAAACAATACAAAACTAAACTGGGAAAACTAAAGCACAAGGAGCCACAGGGAAAAATCACACAGCTATGAGGGAGGACGCAACACTGACAAAGAGAAACATGGGGCTTAAATACACTGAGGGATAACGTGGGGGGAAAAGCCACATAGGACAGACTGTGAAAGTAAAACAGGAAACACACTGACGGAACTCAAGACATGTAAACTTAACAGACTGGGGAGACCGAACATAGGGACCTGAAACATGGAACAGAAAGGCACAGTAGACACAACATGAACATAACAACGCCACAGGGAAAGAGTAAAACAAAATGCAGGGACACAGGACCTCTTTCAAAATAAAATGGGAAACATAATGAAATGCAAACATGACAACATAAGAAACACAGACATGAAGCACATGAAGGACAAGGGAGACTTAACAGGGGTTGGATACACAAGGGGAATCTAATAAACAAATGAACTTAGATAACCTAATGAACAAAATAAACTCAAACTTAAAACGCTGGGTCAAAAGACCCAGGATCATGACAGGTGGGTTCTTTTACATTTTGAGTCTAATAAAAGAGATGATTGTGCAATGGTACTTCTAAACATGTATTCCATGAACAGTTTATCAAAACGTTGTTTTATCTGTATCTGTATATCTTTATGTGATTTATACCAAAATTCAATATTTATGCCTTTCATATTTTTTGTATCTAGAAATCTTAAATTGTATAGTAACTTCCATCCATTCATTCTCCTCCGCTTATTTATGTCACGGTCGCAGAGCCTATACCAGCTATCATAGGGTAAAAGTCGTCTGTCTGTCTGTCTGTCTTCCCTGTGGCTCTGAGTTTTTTCCTTTTTTTCCTGAGCCCCAAGGATCAGATGATCTTTCATGAACAGGACTTGATGATAGTGGGAGGAAAACTAACAGGAAGAGTCCTTTAGCAAAACAGACTATCTGTTGTGAGAGGAAAGAGAGAGAGCAAAGGACAAAAAACCTGACAAGACAACAACCTGCAAGACAGAAGACAAATGTCAGCGACTTGCAGTAGTGGCTGATCATCAAGAGGGAAAAGGAATGGAGAAGAAATGCTGAGTGCATCATGGGAAGTTCCCTGAGCCCATTACAGTATAACTGACTGAGCACAACCTATAAGCTTTACTCAAAAGGAAAGTTTGAAGCCTAATCTTAAAAGTAGAGAGTGTCTGTGTCAGGAATGTAAACACAGGAGAGTTCGTCTTACTTAGACTGTGTAACCAAATCCAAAAAGGCTCTATGACCTACAATGAATTTAATAACCTTTGTTTTATAACAGTATGTGTTAAACATTGATTTGATATTCATTCTGCTTTATTAGTCTATGATGGGAAGAAGTCTAAACTCATTTTCTTTGTATATGATGACTTTGAGTAGAAAGGACTAGTTTATACGGTGTGTAAATATCTAATTTGAACACTATATAAACTATTTCCTGTACAGTTACTTCAACTTATTCTAACCTGTTATGACTCCTGGAATTACAGAATCTTAAAGAACTATTACATGCAATCTGTGAAGCTGGTCTCTGTTGGTAGTTGTACCTTTACAGCTCTGCTGTTACCCACCAAACAAAAACTCACTGAAAAGATTATATTTTGCTGGAAATTAAAACAATGTTGATTTTCTTTTTGTCAACTAAAAAAATGCCAACCACTTCCAGTGAAAACAAAAGACACATGTTGGAATTTTAAAAGCAGCAGCTTCCTGTGATATGGACATCTGATAAATGTTAACGTTTGAAATGTCTTCAGCCTTCTTCTGTCTTCAGCCTCGTGAAGACAGTCCTCTGAAGTACTGGGGTGTCAACAAAATACCTCTCAGCCCCATGTAGCAGTGTGGAAAGTGAAAGGCTTTTTAGCTCAGTGTCGCACATTATAGATGAAAACAGAAACAGTCTGACTGCTGATAATGCAGAAAAGCTACTTTTCTTAAAAAACAAAACAAAACCCTGCCACTCACTTTTTCTCTCCATTAAGTGAGTCATCTTAGACTTGATGTTAATAACTACCTCAGTTGCACTGACTGCCACAGTTCTATGTCGGTGGATTTTGTTAGTTTATTCAAATATTGTGCACTAAATAGCAAAGATGTTTATTAATGCCCCTTGTGTTGTCCAAAGCGGCAGAGTTTACAATAAACTGAAAAAAATACTTGAGTTGCACTGTCACTGTTTAAATTTTTGTTAAATTATAGGACTAAAGCTGTTACCTGTAAATTTAAATCATGTTTTTATTAAGTACTCGGTATCGGTATCGGCGAGTACTGAAATGCAAGTACTCGTACTCGTTTCCAAAAAAGTGGTATCGGTGCATCCCTAATGTGGAGTGACCGTGTCAATAAGGCGATAAGCTGATGGCAGAAATACCGGTGAGATTACACATTTTATTCGTAAGCTGTGTGATCACTTGGATGCTCGTTTTCCAGAGGATAAACTAAAGGAGTGGTCTGCATTTGACATTGAGGCATTGAGCTCAGACGTCAGCTTGAGTATGGAACAGCAGACATTGCCATGCTGGCAAAGAAGTATGAGGCCATTTTCCATCACTCACATTCTGTGGAGGTCATTCACAGTGAATATGCTGAATTCAAGTACATAATGAGGCAAAACTTAAACACGAGTCAATCAGTACATTCTCAGATATATTGGCTGCAACAGTAAATTATGAGGAGCTAAAACACATCCCACAGCTTGTGGATATTTGTGCTACATTTCAAGCATCCAGTGCAGATTGTGGAAGAGGCTTTAGTTTAATGAATCGTACCAAAACAGCATCCAGAAATTGTCTTGAAGTGGACCATTTGGACCAGCTGATGTGCATGAAGTCAAAGCTGCAAGCAGACGAGGCCATCAACCTGGACAACATGTACAACCACTGGAGACGTGAGAAGGACAGACGGGAAAATTAGGGTGAAATTTAAGTTCTTAATCAGTTTAGTGCTTATTCTAGTGTCATTTATTAAGAATTTTCATGTATAATGGTTAATAGTCATTAAATGCTATTACCATGAGTAGTAGAATTTGTAATAAAAACTGTGTAATTATATATTTTGCAGAGTTAATAGAATTTTCAAATATCACATCCTTGCGCTATAGGCGTGCAAAATGTGAAAGTTTTAATGTAAACAAAATTTTATCTCTAAAAGATGTACATGCCTCAATTATTCCAGAGCAGGAGCCCCACCCTGACAACACATTAAGAGTCATTCTACACATCTGTTCATGCAGTCCACTCTAACCACTTAACAGGTAACTTCCATATGTCTTCCTTCCACACTGTGTTATTGTTCAAGTAGAATGCAGAGATCTAACTGCCTTCACACACCCAAGATCTTATTTCTTCCAGCTGTCACTCATTTCTTCAAAGTATGGGTCAGTGCCATTATGGCATGTAGTGTTTGTGAATGGTTCATGGGTGTGCCCAATGAAGGTGTTTCTTTTTAGTTTTTGTGAACGTGTACATTTGCACGTGAGATTTTACTGTTTGTCATGTGGTAGAGCAACAACACTAAACTGATGAAGAGGAAAAACCAGTCAGGCCAGTAAGGAACCTGCAACTTATTACTGAAACTTAGAAGCCTGAAATCTGCTTTGTCTAACTTCTGTAGTTAACTTCTGAGGCCATCACAGGGCAGTTGTGGAGCTGTTTTGCAAAGAAGAACGGGCAAGGATTTCAGTCTCTAGATGTGCAAAGCTGGTAGAGACATACCCTAAAAGACTGGCAGCTGCAATTGCAGCAAAAGATGGTTCTACAAAGTATTGACTCAGGGGGCTGAATAATTACTCACACCCCACTTTTCAGTTATTTATTTGTAAAAAAATGTTTGGAATCATGTATGATTTTTGTTCCACTTCTAACCTGTACACCACTTTGTGTTGGTCTTTCACGTGGAATTCCAATAAAATTGATTCATGTTTGTGGCTGTAATGTGACAAAATGTGGAAAAGTTCAAGGGGGGCGAATACTTTTGCAAGCCACTGTATATAGGCCTTTAGATTCATGTTTGAGCAGTGCCATTTGGCTCAACCAGTAAGTAGCTAGAAGAACTGGTAAGAGCCATTAATAGATGTAATACTTATTTAAAAGTTTTAAACAAAGGGAATGTCCACAGGTTAGACTTTTTGTATGCATGATATTTTATTTATATAACTTAGCAAAGGCAAAGCAAAATCAATAAAATTTAAAATAATATCCCATGTTTTATCTTAACCTAACTGATCTGCAGGACATGTACCCGAATGCTGATGCTGTGACATTATCTTAATTTGAGTGGCTGAAGATTAAATCTCATTCATCTCTGTGGAAAACTGACCTTCAGATATGAGACGGACCTCAGTGGGTACAAAACTATAATTCTTCAAACCTACAGACTGAAAGAGATTCATATTTGTAATATGAAATATGATATAAAAACAATGATACATCAAATGAACAGCAGAATTTAGAAGAGAATAAAGATTATACAGGTATTGAAAATCAGGCTAAAATATCTAGTAATTTTTAAACACAAGAAACGAGCATTCGGGTACATGTCCTACAGATCAGTTAGGTTAAGATAAAATATTATTTTATATTATATTGATTTTGCTTTGCCTTTGCTAATTTATAGAAATAAAATACAGTGCATACAAAAGTCTAACCGTTGGAAATTCCCTTTGTTTAACAGGAGTGTTTGAAGGAGTGGCTCTTCCGTTACTCAGGAAACAAAAGAGCAGTTTTAGACTTACAGGAACTCAGAGTCTGAACCGACTACTGCGGGAGCTGTGTAAGGAAAATACACCTTTTCACCTAGAAGTTGAGTACATCTTGATTTAGAACAGAACAAGAAACATTGAAGGTACATGTATATCACCACATCACATCTACAGTTTATCAGTGGAACATGAAATTATGTAAAAATAATAATTGCTTTATGTTTTATAGATGCCTGTTCGTAGTTTTCATAGTGAACCTCTGGAAAACCCAGAGGTTCTCTATGAAGACAGAAAACAAACTGGTGTAAGATGCAACCTCATTTTCTTCACCAAATCTGGAGCACACTACAGGGCTGCAATAGAAGAAGCTTACCCTCAATCCAAGGCTATTCGAATGGACAACAAACTCAAACTTGAGCTCTCTGATGGAGGCACTGTGTCTATATTTGACAGTGGAATCATTGTGATTCAAGGTACAGAAGAAATCCTTGATGCATTTGAGAACAGGTTTGACACAATTAAACAAAGAGTAAACAGCAAAAGATAAGAACAGGTGCGGAAAACATTGGAGCAATTGAAAGTCAAAGAACCTGATTCTGAAACAGAAGATCAGGACAAACAGAAACAGTCTAAATAAAATGTGATACAAATAAGAAAAAGCAGGAAACAGCAGAAACAATACGGACATTAATAAGTGAATATTAAAGTTTTTGTTTCTTGTGTTTAAAAATGATTAGATATTTAAGTCTGACTTGCAATATTTTTATAATCTTTATTCTCTTCTAAATCCTGCCGTTTGTTAGATATATTATTATATATGTATTGTTTTACAATGATGTCAAGGAAAAGTAAGTGTATTGCATAATATATTATAAATATGAAAATGTCTTTCAGTCTGTAGATTTGAAGAATTTTAGTTTTGTAGTCACTGAGCAGGTGGGAGTTTAACTCAGTTTTCCACATAGATGAATGAGATTTAGTCTTGTCACAAAATGAGCATTCGGGTACATGTCCTACAGATCAGTTAGGTTAAGATAAAATATTATTTTATATTATATTGATTTTGCTTTGCCTTTGCTAATTTATAGAAATAAAATACAGTGCATACAAAAGTCTAACCGTTGGAAATTCCCTTTGTTTAACAGGAGTGTTTGAAGGAGTGGCTCTTCCGTTACTCGGGAAACAAAAGAGCAGTTTTAGACTTACAGGAACTCAGAGTCTGAACCGACTACTGCGGGAGCTGTGTAAGGAAAATACACCTTTTCACCTAGAAGTTGAGTACATCTTGATTTAGAACAGAACAAGAAACATTGAAGGTACATGTATATCACCACATCACATCTACAGTTTATCAGTGGAACATGAAATTATGTAAAAATAATAATTGCTTTATGTTTTATAGATGCCTGTTCGTAGTTTTCATAGTGAACCTCTGGAAAACCCAGAGGTTCTCTATGAAGACAGAAAACAAACTGGTGTAAGATGCAACCTCATTTTCTTCACCAAATCTGGAGCACACTACAGGGCTGCAATAGAAGAAGCTTACCCTCAATCCAAGGCTATTCGAATGGACAACAAACTCAAACTTGAGCTTTCTGATGGAGGCACTGTGTCTATATTTGACAGTGGAATCATTGTGATTCAAGGTACAGAAGAAATCCTTGATGCATTTGAGAACAGGTTTGACACAATTAAACAAAGCGTAAACAGCAAAAGATAAGAACAGGTGTGGAAAACATTGGAGCAATTGAAAGTCAAAGAACCTGATTCTGAAACAGAAGATCAGGACAAACAGAAACAGTCTAAATAAAATGTGATACAAATAAGAAAAAGCAGGAAACAGCAGAAACAATAATTAATAAGTGAATATTAAAGTTTTTGTTTCTTGTGTTTAAAAATTACTAGATATTTTAGCCTGATTTTCAATACCTGTATAATCTTTATTCTCTTCTAAATTCTGCTGTTCATTTGATGTATCATTGTTTTTATATCATATTTCATATTACAAATATGAATCTCTTTCAGTCTGTAGGTTTGAAGAATTATAGTTTTGTACCCACTGAGGTCCGTCTCATATCTGAAGGTCAGTTTTCCACATAGATGAATGAGATTTAGTCTTGTCACAAAATGAGCATTCGGGTACATGTCCTACAGATCAGTTAGGTTAAGATAAAATATTATTTTATATTATATTGATTTTGCTTTGCCTTTGCTAATTTATAGAAATAAAATACAGTGCATACAAAAGTCTAACCGTTGGAAATTCCCTTTGTTTAACAGGAGTGTTTGAAGGAGTGGCTCTTCCGTTACTCGGGAAACAAAAGAGCAGTTTTAGACTTACAGGAACTCAGAGTCTGAACCGACTACTGCAGGAGCTGTGTAAGGAAAATACACCTTTTCACCTAGAAGTTGAGTACATCTTGATTTAGAACAGAACAAGAAACATTGAAGGTACATGTATATCACCACATCACATCTACAGTTTATCAGTGGAACATGAAATTATGTAAAAATAATAATTGCTTTATGTTTTATAGATGCCTGTTCGTAGTTTTCATAGTGAACCTCTGGAAAACCCAGAGGTTCTCTATGAAGACAGAAAACAAACTGGTGTAAGATGCAACCTCATTTTCTTCACCAAATCTGGAGCACACTACAGGGCTGCAATAGAAGAAGCTTACCCTCAATCCAAGGCTATTCGAATGGACAACAAACTCAAACTTGAGCTCTCTGATGGAGGCACTGTGTCTATATTTGACAGTGGAATCATTGTGATTCAAGGTACAGAAGAAATCCTTGATGCATTTGAGAACAGGTTTGACACAATTAAACAAAGAGTAAACAGCAAAAGATAAGAACAGGTGTGGAAAACATTGGAGCAATTGAAAGTCAAAGAACCTGATTCTGAAACAGAAGATCAGGACAAACAGAAACAGTCTAAATAAAATGTGATACAAATAAGAAAAAGCAGGAAACAGCAGAAACAATACATTAATAAGTGAATATTAAAGTTTTT